CTGCCATGACCTGATGGACTTTTTCTCTTGACATTTTTGGTATTTTATTTGATTCCGATTTGAGATTTTACCATTGTATATTGTTATTCTTTCCATATTTTGTACTTATATTGAAGTTTTGGTGTTTGCTTTTGAACTGTACATATATTGTTTAAATCTGATATAATATGGCTACCGCCACATTTTTGGATAGACGTGGTGGCTGCTGAGCTGGTTCAACACTTAATGTGCGTCCGGCACGTCGCAAACAACCAACAGTAAAACTTCTTCAGAGTTTGAACTCTCTATCAGTACATCACTTAACTAAGTTCTTCATTTCCGCCTTCGTTGGCTTATGCCCTGGCATACTTGACACAATCAAATCTCCTTCAATCACAACATGTTCCCACCGATCTAAAGAATATACCTCAGAAGGAGCACTCATAAACTTTGTCGTTCTGCTAATCCATACAGTCTGAACTACCAATGACGCTTGATCTTCCTCCAAACAATCTGACCTTATCGACGTTGCATCAGAGCCGTTATGCAAAAGAGCATATCCAACAACTTTGGAATTTCCTGATCTTAATCTTACGGGAATCAGTCCTAAGCTTACCTGACTGCTTAATGATCTAGTAAATCCTCAACAGTTCTGTGTATCAGGTTTGTCATTCAAGCTTTTGGCAGTGGATTCATTGTGCAGCAGAGCATGATGTTTTTTCTAGCACTTGTCGACGTTACATCGCTTAGTCAGTTTACGTTCATTAGCCTTATGCCTGTGCTTCAGACAGACGAAGCATATGCCCTTTCTCCTTACGTGAGACCGTCTATGTTGAACTATGAGCGCTAAAATTCGGGGGCATTCATAAATAGCGTGGTCATTAGAACAGATACTACATTTAATATTATTATTTAGCTTATACAGACGAAGAATTCCACTGTCCCAATTGCAACTTACAATTTTCTCTAAGGCTACTAAACAGTTCAAGTCCGAAGTACAATTCATTTGTTCCAAGACCATGGCACAATTTTCCATTCTTATGGTCAAGTTCCATAGCTGCTTTGCATCATTATTATCAACATTTACAATACTGAATAACTGTTCTAATGCTTCTCGGGCTATCTCGTGCCACTGACTAAACAACCGATTTAAAGTCCTACTAGGCATCTTATAACCAGCAGAGGCTTTCACCATAACACAACCCTCAATGGCTGATCTTGCCTTGCCATTACAGTAGTGTATCAATTATAGCAACCGCTGGCTATCGTCACTGACTCTTGATTCTGCGTAAGTCCCGAACTGCCTTTCAAACTTTCGATACCCTCTCGGCTGTTCATCGAAATAACTCAACTCAACCTTTGGTAGTTCTAGACCTAAAACGGATATTATAGGCGTTACACTTTCTGCAGATACTTCGAGTTTCTGATTTAAACTTAGATTTTTCGTGCCCTCTAAGAACAACTTATGACTAGAATCACTATCAAGATAACTATCCCTATTTGAATGTGAACCATGACACACAGGAACATCAAAAAGCACTTACCTTATAAAAGGTAATTTGTCGTTCAGTTTGTCTCCGTGAATCCCAACGAGACTTCAGCTTGACTTCCTTTAACGAGCATTCGGCACAGTAAATACCTTCAGAACCAATAATTTAATTCCACGAAACGTTAGCCAAACAACTCCGATCTATTGATATTGTTTAGAACTGTAGGATCCAAACTGAGTTTTGGACTGAGGAGTAACCGTCTAGGTAGTTAAATTCGAAACAAGTGATTTGGATAAATGACGGTTCTAACATTCATCATAAATACGAATACACATCATTACCTAAACAATATTACCACAGCTATTCCATATTACCGCACTAATTCTTGTTATATGCAAACCTGGCTCTACCATGCATCGTTTCGCAGTCAATAAGATGACAGTCGTAACGAATCCTTGGTAACTCGCACCAATTATTCGCATTGTACATTCCATCTATAGGAATCCAATGAATCTCGTGAAATATTTCAGTAACTGTATACCGTTTTAAAAGAAATATGTTGCTAATCTTAACATTTTGATCTTGCCTGTAAATTGGCATGTCTCTTGTAACATGTTTGTTATTTGAGAATAAATTATTATTATTATTATTATTATAATTGTTCATTTATTCAAATGAATGATATTCTATCCTTCCTGGATAGATCAGATTCGTTCGACAGATAATACTTGGTTGCTTTATAACAAAAAGTGCTTCTGATTCTGGAATAGTGCTTCAATTCACAATCAAAATGCACAGTTCCAGTCAATGCAAGCAAAACAATCAAAGGAGGAACAAATCAATATGGCTGTCACCATGATTAAATATCAGCTTAAACAACATAATGCAGTTCAGATAGAAACATAGGAACTCAGTAAAGGCAGAAGCTGTCATCTCAAAATGGAATCGAACAGATTAACAAAACATATAACTGAAGGAATCTATAAGGACAAATTACGAATGCATACATGGGAGGATTTTCACAAATAAAGCCTTCAAAATGGATCTTACACTGGGTGTTTGTAGAATACTCTTTCGACGCCATATCAAGACTTTTCTCTTTAGTTAGTTGAGGCAACGGATCAGAGTAGCCTACAGTATCACTGGTTCATTGTCTTGTCCCCGTTTATCGACTAGGGTTAACTCGTGGAAGTTTCAAGCATATCAAGTGACGAGTACAACACATACCGTGAGTGGACATTTGTGAAACGTTGCTGTTTACGGACTAGACGATCTTTATGATGATTTCAATCTGTGCCGAAAATTGTAAATAAGTATGGTTTTCTTTTATATTTTGACTCTTTCTAGACTAAACGCTTCTTCTATTTCTCCGAACATTTTTATTCGCTACTCAGAGATTCTATATGTTTAAGTACCAAAGTTGTATGCCATATCAGTCATATCAAGCAGATGACTGAACACTACGATTTGACAGATCTGGATATAGCTATCGAACTACTTGCGCAAGATCACTCTCTTGAATTCGGCCAGGGTAATTCGTGCACAGCATAGGAAGAATTATTACTGGGAATTGAACACTCGAGAACAAGGAAACCAGTCCAAAACAATTTGGCACAACTTTCGCAACTAGTTAACGATATATCACCTTTAGATGCACAGAAAACTAGTGAACTGAGAAGAATAATCATCAGTCTGAAAGCGGAAGTTATATGTGAAATTGATTTATGCAAAAATGAACGAGTATTTATCATTTTTGATGGGGATCGGAAAATTTGGTTAAAATTAGATTTTTCTTGTGGTCTCCTGAGTAAGTTTTTGTCAGTCTTTTATATTGTCATTTTCATGTACATTATATGCAAGTTTTTTCACAGAAATCTTGTGGGTAACTCATTCCCATTCAGGCGCAAAGGAAGACTCTAGTTCCTTATTCATTAGGTCGTCTGAGAATATATTAAGAGCTCTACTTGAAAGAAAACCAACTAGGATTCTGTTGCAGCCTGCGAATACAAAGCTCTTGAAATATATGCACCGACTGGAAAAAGAACTTCTTACAAACTCATTCCTATCGATGAGTTCATATTCTTTTCTCAGTACAGGTTTGCGAAGATTGCTAAATTTAACCGATATTATGGACCAGTCACTATCAGAGCGCTGTCAAAAATCTGCAAACACTAGACAGTTCTTTCGTCCAGGTAAGAAACTCAGTGGTGCTCATCCACGATCCTGTAAACGGGAATGGGACGCAAGACATTCGGTCTCGCGCTCAAACACCTAATCTCTGGACCACAGTATATATACTTTTTACTTCACTCTGTCTACGCTACTGCTCGACCATTAATCATCGTCTCTGGTGAGTAACTGTCTCACTCCCAACACCGTCGAAACATGTAGATTATTAGAAAGTTATGTCAGTTAGCTTCTTTCCTCACACACTTGAATTCAACTAAATATCCCAGATTATCAGGCATTTCTGCACCCCAAAGATCTTGGATTTTAGAAGCTAACACGAGATGAGCAATTATTTATGTTAAGTGGAAAACTGTTGATAATGAGTTTGTAATTAGTAGACCCGGATAAACCGTCACCGCAATTAACAAGTATCTGGGATATGATAAAGGGGCGAGGTTCCCCAAACGGACCGGTTTCAATACATGATTCAAAAAGGAAGAGTTCTCAAAAAAAACGCAATAACAACACAAATCAACATGATGTTAAAAGTCTTAAAAAGGCTATCGCGCAGATGCAGGTGGATGATAGAAACTGGGGTGGGTGTCCGAGACAGACACTGCCCAGGTCACAAACAGCTAGAAAATCTGTAGAGTTCTGTCGGAGTCACTTGATGTTCGGTGCTTAATCAACCTGGCGTGGTCAACCATGTGTCCGGTCTCAATATATGGTCTAAGAATATGAGGATCGAATAGTCGTTTACTTATTTAAGTACGCCTGTTACACCCAGTGGAGAATAGGGCCTGACCAGCATTCTCCAACCTACTCTGTCTGGGACCTTCCGTTCTAGTTCTATCTAATATTTTTCATCAATCTCATATCTGCTTCCGTTTCTCAGCGTAATGTGTTCCTTCGCCTCCCTCTTTTCTTTTTACCCTGAGGGTCCTAAGCCAGGGCTTGCCTTGCTTCAGAGTTGGGTGCTTTCTTAAATGTGTGTACTATCCACTTCCAGTGCTTCTTTCTGATTTCTTCTTCCACTGGATCCTGGTTTGTTCTCTCCCACTGCAGACCAACGGATCTTGCGTAAAAAGCTGTTAATAAACTCTTCTATCTCCTGGTTGGTGGCTTTCGTTTCCGCCCCATGCAGCAGAACTGTCCTAATATTTTTAATTGAAAATTCTGACTTTGGGTTTGTTTGATAGTCGTTTTGGGCTGCAGATGTTGTTCATTTGTAGAAATGCAGCCCTTGCTTTGCCGATAACTTTTTCAAATAGCTTATATTTAGATGTAAATAACAATTAATGAACTTTTCTGTTCGGAAATTTGAAAGTTTATTGGATTGTCGAAAGCTTTGTTAAAATGGTTCAATTTTTGGTTAATAACCTTGTTCGCTTGTTTCTCCCAGTTCGGTTGGATTATGTGAATTGTCTTGGATAGGATGGTGAGATTTCTGTCACCTATTTTCTTCATGTACATTTTGTTTTCCATTCCGCCACAAAATTATGCTATTGTATGGTGCACACCTTTTAGTTTATCTTAAGTGCAGGAAAACGGTCGTATTTAGACACTGTCCGAACTTATTGTTTGAGAATGGAAGTGTACAACCTTTGGAATTTCATATGGAGATACGTTCGTAACATCTACCGTCATTAGATTTCAAGAACTGATTACTAGGTGGAAAAAAGACTGCTTAACTTGTTTCTTTTGTCCTCTAAGTTTTGTGCTCTAGTTGTAAGCAGCGATAAATGTTATGCCAGAAACCACCTAGTTTCGTGGATAACATGCTCAAGTTACTCCGTAATTGGAGATAGAGCGTTTTAAAAATTTTCACCCGATGAGCTAAGCATTCCCAGAATTGCTCGGTTACCGGTCCTCTTTAGTCTCCACACGAGAGTTGAATGTTCTAAACATTTTGTTCAGTTTCTAAATTTTAAACTGAGTCTGTGTTAAATGCAACGAATGATCATTTCAGTTGATTGTAAGAAGTTGTCTTAACGCTTAACATGCATCAGAACTCTTGGATGTGGCCAAATGCGGTGGACTATGGTTTCCTAGATACTTACGATATAAGAATAACTACAATAATCTACCAGTCTATGGGTGGTTTTATCTGCATATCTAGTGTGTATAAAGACACTCATCCGGATAAATGACTGTTATCCGTGTTCAAGAAAACGTCGAGATCTGCTTAGGTTACTTGTACATTGTCATTCTGCGACTTATCATGTTGTCATTAGCGTAATTTAGCGCCAGAGTCGATTGCTCTTGAAAGTTCATCAGTATGAATAGTGGATTAGAATGTATCTGGCACATGTATGTACACAAATTTATGAAGAAACCTGTGGCGCCTTTCTGGACTGCTATTTTTTTCAAAAAAATATATTCTCTAGATTTATTTAGCAAATAGACGCAAACAAATTAGGTGTTACGAATTTTGTAAGTAACCTTCCATTAGCATTAAGACTTAGGTTCAGAAAGTCAATTGGTTTGTTCTAGTTCCTAACAAAATTACTTAATATCAAATTATTTCAATGTATGGAATTGACACAACGTTTGTGGTATTGTGTAAAGACGTGAATGCAAAGAATAAATTTTAGTTAACAGCAGGGTTCACCATTATTTTAGTGTCGAAGTTACGCTTGAATTGCTATGATTAGATTAAATAGATCTCGAAATAAAAGTGCTTTACTAGTTCATGATGATATCAAGAACCGACTGTTCATTTAGCTTCCTACGTTATCTATGGTTTATTATTTTACTACTTGGAGTAAGTATCGACACAAGCTAGATGTACTGATCAACGCATCTCGAATTCCACATTCTGCACTGATTCTTTTTACAGTCTCGCGGGGAAAACCCCAAGGATCTTAGATGCTGGAAATGTTTGCACATGAAGCTTAATAGCAGATCATTGAAGAGATAATCTAAATCAACCCATGTTTTCGTCAAATCCTAGAGGTAAGTAAATTACACTCAGAATGTATCTCCCAAGCTCAATTACTTATTTTCATATTGAGAAACTATTAGGTGGTATTTTGATCGAGTTTTAGATAAACGAGAATCGTATCTATCTCATCTCTAAGTAGGCTGACGTTGTTTCTTAGCGTGGGTGTTTATTGCATTGAAGTTCCTGTTGATAAAGTTGTGAATCTTTATATACTGAAATAGCTGGTTGTCGTAGTGGTGGTATTCCATTTAGAATTTTTCAATATCCTGAATACCTATACAAACATCTACTTCCCTTAGCAAACCCGGTACTCAGGAATTTTACGAAGTTTAGTGCTTGATCATGTTTAGTTAATGCCGTATCTCGTTACCATTCGACCTAATAAATGCTTATAATTCCAAATTTTCTTCGTATATCAATTTTATTCCAGGTGTTTTGGATACATGAATTACTACTCGTCCTCTCAGTTACTTTATTCCATAGTGCCCCGTTAGTATATGGAGCTCATTCTTGGACGCCTTCTCACATATTGTCTATTTCTAACTCATCTTTAGTCGATCACCATGATGCAGATGGTTCTCAACTGAGTTATATCAAAGTGGGGCTAGCAGCAGCTTTCTTTTTCACTGTGCTTTTTTCATGCGGTCTACCAGTTTTATTGATAAACTACCTAAAAGAACGAAATAATTTATCATCAGTTAATAGCGATCGAAAATTTCACTTGGGCAGAGTGCAACAGAATGGGTCGGACCAAAATAAAATAGAAAATAGGGATGACAATAAATTCCAGTATTGTGATATGAATTTATCTCCAACTTCAGAAACGAGTCCTGTGAATGTCTCAAGTGGTGGAGTGTATGCAGACAATAATGCTTCATGGAAGCGAGCTCCATTTCAGCAACAAACTTCGGTGGAATCTGAGAGTTTATCTATTTCTTGTCAAAGTCCTAATCCAGGACTAATCAGCGGAGACCAGTCTGAAAACAGAGATTTACTTACTGGTGAGGTGGTTCATAATGAAAGAAACTGGGCCAATTCATTTAGGATTCAAGATCGAATACGTGGTCGCAATTTAACTGACCATTCTATTATACATGGTCGAAGAGATCACCAAAAACAAGAAAAACAAATTTTATCTCGAAAAGTTTGTCTTTCGTCAAGGGCAGTGCGTAAAGAAACATTACAAGTTTGGTTTAGTCGGTGTAATTGTTTTGCAGCTGGAGTCTTCTTATCCTCAGGTAAACGTACACATAAAATTTTCGTTCACTCCCACGAACTGTTCTGTCGTATTACCATGAATGCAAATTAGGCTGTAGCTTGATGAAGTGGTTGGGCTTGTCTATCGTGATGACCCCGCCTAGCTATATTGGTTGGGACACATGTTCCTTTAGTGAGTTAGATCAAAGATAAGGCTTTCTTTTTATGTTATTTTACTTTTCGATAGTTTTTGGTTATGAAATATTTTTTTTCCAGCTTGTTATATCATTAAGGTGATCAGTCATTAAATAAAGAAATGCTGTGCTCATTCATTGTCAGTTGATTTTTTTGTTTTTATTTTAAAGTCAATTAATAAATATAAGAGCGATCTTTTTCAGTCATGAATCACTTAACTATAAACTACAGAATACCCCTTTCATGTTTGTATAAAATTTTAAACTGTTCATTGTTTAATTTGTATAACAGAATGAATGACTTACACATATTTTGAATGAATGCATATGGTAGGTTGCACTAGCACTGATTTAAAAAAAACTTATGTTGTTTGTTTACTAGTGCAGTATAAGATAATTTCCATTAAAGTGAACTTTTTGGTAGGAAAAATTTACGTGCATACTAGTCAGAGTTTTTGAATGATTCATTGGGTCACGTAGTATCCCTTAATATGCATGTAAATTTAATTGTTTGTGATGTTGTTTCGTTCTCTGAGCTGGATCTTTTGGTTGTGCAGCTTTCATTGTTTTTCTGAACAATATCATCAGCACAAACTGCAGATAGACTTCTATCTGAAGTTCCACAACCAAAACAACATCCATCTCAGAGAACGAAACACCATCACAATCATCCACCTGAGCTACAAATTTTCTCCACCATCTCAAATTTAATTATGTTTTTCGGAAAAAGTACGATATAGTTACGTCGAAACTCTGTAAAGCATATAATTTAGTGGTTTTAGAATTCAAAGGATTATGAATTGGAATACCCTATAATAATGCTGTGCGCTTCAAGATCATGTACAAAAGGAAGGTTTACTAAAAGAGAAACAAAAAGAAAGCCGCAGATTTCATTTGGCTTCGATATGCAGCCTTATTTTTTTACCTTTTCCCCAAGCCTGCCTGTTTTTCTCCTTCGAGCCTGGAAATCTAGTCCACACGACAGTGTAGCACTGTTTGGAGATACAATGCCATGACAACTGGCGACCGAAATAAGTTTGTATGCCACTCATTTCATTAGTTTCGAATTCGATATAAGCCGTTCGTCTGAAATCATAATTTAAAGACTCTCATAGGTCGATTATCCGTATATATTAAACAATTTTAACTGCTGGGATCCTGTTTGAGACTTCATCAGATATGACTCTGAATAAAAATCAATGGCTATCTTAGTTTAGTTTTTATTAAACTCTCCATAATGTGTTGATTAACACTTCCTTAACCGATGTGCCCTCCCACACAATAGTTGCACAACTTTTCCTTTACTATTTCTCTACATTAATGTACTTCCACTGTTTGTGACTCATCTATTAAGGGTCGTGTTATATCTGAGCTTTTGCGTTCTAAATAAATTTTTTTTTCTAGGAAGGATTGATGCATTAAATTAAACGATGATAAGTAGCATTGAGGATAAGAATATTGATTAACTCAATGTGATCATTACTCAGTTAAAATTCGGTTGTATTTTGGTTATTTTAGCATAATATTCTAACATATTATGTTTATTTTTACCAAATATTGAAATGTGTTTGTGAACAAGTTTGTTTTATGGTAATAGCTATGAATTGTAAAATGAGACAGTGTACAGAACGAGTATTACTTTTCAATAAAACATATTCTTTCCCCACAAAACATTTTCATGCTAACTTGGGAGCTGAGTTGAGAATATTGTAGGTATATTGTTGACGTAAAATTGCAGTGTTCACTAATTACATTCAATATAGCGTCAATATTTTCCAGTTACTAAGTCAAACACACATCAGAATGATGACAATGAATAATTAGGAAACAATGTCAGTTGGTTCAGATTGAGAGTTATTGTTTCAATTACAGATGAAGTGGATGAAAGCTGTGACGGAATATCTATATGCCATAATATTGAATTAATTTATCGCATGTTGCACTGCATCACTAGTTAGAAAAACTACTATTAACGTATATGAGGATTTTTCTCTAATCCACTCGTTAATATTTCTTCTGGTTCCTGGTTTAGACGTGTTATAAAGATTCGTTCCGTGTTGAATTTTCTAACCGAAATGAAATAAACTTGTTGTCAGAGAACATGACACAACTACTCAAATTCTTCTATATTATTATACCAGTCAAGCGATCGACACAGTATTGACATTGTCCTAGATTTTGAAAACAAAATGCTTCATTTTTTGATGCTCAATATCAATGTATGAAGCTGACAAAATGAGAAAATGATGATTTTTGTCTCTGTTGGAGGCATTTTTAACAGGAAATCTAAGCGCTTTGAGCTATAGTCATTTACAAATGGCCAATCATATTGTCTTATTTTTTGTTTCTAGACTGGAATCACCAAGAGATGCTGATACCCGGACACATCTGCCGGGTAAAATTAAACAAGGCCCTCTGATAATGTTACATATAGTTACTACAGATTGCCGACGACTGCTACACTTGAAACATGACACAAGTGTTACAGCGAACGACAATATAGTGCGGTTTATGTGGCTGCAACTTCGAGATAACAACCATTCAGTCACCCTCATTCCGCAAATCCGCGGTACTAAAAGCGCTTCCATCAGCATTGTGGCACCGTGGCGGATGGGATTTTCCTGTCTTTTTATTTATTTAGTTCACTACAGCATGGATATTTCCCAGTTGCGTAGTCAAGCACATTTCATAACAAACATCCGTATCAAATAAACTAAAAAAATCCATGGTAAATTTTTGTATTTATTACAGTTAAATTAGTAATGTCCCATAAAACATATTCCTAACGTTTGTACTTTTATTTTTATAAAAGGTTTTATGGAACTTTATCCTGATACTGAAGAAGCTATAACAGAGGCGAAACTTCAATTACATATTAAATCGGAATTCCCATTCGCTCCATTTTTAACTCTTGTTGGATTTTTTCTAGTTTTAAGCATTGAACAAATTATATGGACAGCGAAATCAAATCAATGGACATGTTGTAGACGAAATTCTAATACTAGTGAAGCTTTACATTGTGATTCACTACATCCCAATGAAAATGATTACAGTTTTGAGAGTAATGGAAATTTTTACCTTTGTAATAATGATAGCAATAACAACAATGGAAATCATAAATTATCCTTTGAACAATCACAACAAAATAACATTGGATATTTATCATCTAAATTTATGAAAAGTAGTAGTAGTAGTGTGAAACGACCATCGAAATTGTCTAATGCAACAAATACTTCAGATTTGACTTCAGTTGATCGTTCACCTACATCATCTACTCATTCTGGCAATGATTTTCTTCTAGAATCCAGTGATATTGCCGAAAATCACATGGAAGATAATCATCATTGTCATGATAATGATGGTCATCATCATTCTCATACTCATGATATTAAATTTGATGCTAGTTCTTTTGGATCAGTATTACGTGTTATTTTACTTTTATGCGCTATGTCTGTACATTCAATATTTGAAGGTTTAGCAGTTGGTCTTCAACCTACAACACAACGTACTGTTGCTTTATTCACTGCTATTTTATTACATAAAATTATCATAGCTATTGGGATCGGTGTAAATTTAGCTACCAATCTGAATCAACCATCAACATCTTCATCTCAATCTTCCTATTGTCATTTGTTTATGTATCAATCTATTGGAACGTTGATTTTAGCTTGTTCATCACCATTTGGTGTACTGGTCGGTTGTGGTTTAATGCAACAAAAACAATCTGCGGTGTTGACTATGTCAACTGCTGTACTTCAAGGTCTCGCTTGTGGAACATTTTTCTATGTGGTATTTTGTGAATTATTACCAGTTGAATTTAAAGAAGGTGTTAAAGATAGAATGGGAAAATTTTTCTTCTTATTATTTGGATTTTTAGTAGTTGCATTGTATGCTTTTTTAATGCCTGAATAAACATTTTGTTTAATGCAATATGAGGATACATTCTTTGTGGTCATTTTGATTTGTTTTGCACTCTCAGTAGTTTTATGAAACATTTCATTAGTTGACTTAGATTTATTGTCTTTCTCAGTCAATGGTGTAGTATGTTTGTATTTCTCATGTTGTCGTTTATATATTTTCATTGCTTCTCTTTGGTTTTGGGCATACTTTTTCAATTTTTTGTATGAAAAACAATAATTAAATGATTATGAATTTCACTGTTTTTTTTAATATGTATTTTTTTCCAAGTCAAGTTAGATAAATTATTATCATTATTATTGTCAAGCTGTGATTTTCTTTAATTTTAGGAATATCTTTCTTTTATACAATGAATTTATCATTTTCACTTATGTTCCCCCTCTGCCCTCCCACAATCAATTATTTATCCAAATGTCTAATTAGGTAAATTGTGTTTTTTCTCTTCTCTCCTTCTTATGTTACTTTAATTGATCGCTTTTTGATCACAATTATTTTCGATAGTTTGCTATTTATACATATTTATATATATATACATGATCTCTGATAACTTTTTTTTCTCTGGAGTATAACTTTTCTGTACAATCCCAAGTAGTGCTTTTTTTGTGCTTATTTTTTACTGGAACACATAAATTTATCCTGTTGGGGCACGATTATCTACTTGTATGTTTGTGAATAACGGGGTTAAATAGAACACTTGATTTGTGAAAGTTTCTATTTATTTATATATTTGATATTAATTATTGTAACAAAACTAGTCGGTTTGATTAGCTGAATGATATTCCATGCGAATGAATACTTTACTTACCTCTGCAAACTTGTATCACTTCTATGGATGGGAAATATGGCCATTGTGAATAGAGGAAATCCTTAGATTACTAGTATTTAACCATAATAGGTGTATTCAATGCGTCGCTCGTACATTTGGGAAAATCCGAGTGAGCATAGGGTAGGAGGTAAATATAGCAAGTCGATTCATGAGTTAGTAAATCTTCATTAAATGAGGTGACTAGTACATGTGTATTACATGTGCCTAACCACTGCCTTCCTTCAATGGTGATGTATAGTGCAAAAGTAGGCTGGAAGAAATCTAGGGGCGGATAGACCAAGATATAGAGTTATTTCATGAAGTCATTGGTAAATAAACCAGGTTTTAGGCTACCTGGTTGGGATCCGTCTGATTATTGTAATCAGTGATTAGAAACCGGATGATATGACTCAGAATCATTCTCAGTGGCACTGATTCATTCACTATTTGTCTTCCTTTGAAACTGGATTTTCAAGATAACACTTTTTTCTTTAAGTAATCTTTTTTACTTCTGCTGATACTGTCACTACTCTTACCACTCTACGATTTGTCTTGATATAATTTTGTCTCGCTGTTCTAACATAGTATGGCTACGTGAGCTGATGCACATGTGTCAGGTTCTTTGATGCATTTTACGGACTGATATTTTTTCGGCAGTTTAACCAGAGCAGCCTATGTATTGAGTAGTATTTTAACTTGGTTAAGATTTAACTGATTAAATTGTAGCCCATATCGATTAGTATGTGAGAATCTAATCATTCAAACTAAAAGATTGATTATTCGATTGAAAAGACTGAAAATAATTTTCTAAGCCACTTGATTGCTCAAGTCATTCAGCTTAATAGTCATGCTGTAACTTGTTTGATATAATTCACTCATTACTTGATGCTAAAGAACATGATATTAGTTTGTACCAAGTGTAGGGTTATACCTTGAGGTGAAGTAATTGACCAATCAAAAAACTGAAAGCTTAATACGGTATTGATAAACTTGTAAATTATAACCAATAAACACAACACAATATGAATACATAATTGAAATTCAACTGGAAACTATGCGACACGAATTATTTTAAAAAATTCAATTCATCATTGTTTATGTCACTGAATAAAAAGTGAAAAACAATTCACATTTGAAATTATTATTCTTATTTTTTTCACAATGTATTCTGTAAATAATATCTTGATGCACAAAAAATGATTGTTAACAGTAGTTGACTGGTATTGGTAAAAATCTAGAACAAAAGTATGATGATGAAATTATATTAATTTCATTTATCACATGGACTATGTACTAGTAGTATATTTGGATGGAATTTTGGACAACAGTTTGTTACAGCGCACAATTGTTTATAATTTAATTTTTACTTAACGTTTTATAGGTGTTTTTGATTCCCCTCCTAATTATTATAATATACATGTTTAAATAAGCAGCAAGTGAATTTGTTTGTAAGGAATCTATTCTTTACATTTGGTGTACGTGCGTGTGTGTTGTTTATGTCCGTAAACTTATCGAATTTCAATCGTTTTGTTGCGCTTTGGAACATTGTCCACAACTTAATCTGTTTCTGTAACCAGATAGTCCTTACTCAAAGAAAGTATCACTCAAGTCAGAATACAATTAATCCTGAATTGGAGTGATAAATTTCAGTGAATTAAGTAAATAATTAGTAAATTCACATATTTATCTGGAACTCCAAACAACTTTCAACCAAAACCAAAATCAGGATTTTCAATACAAATGTCAAGACAGTTCTACTGTATGGAGCCGAAACATGGAGAACTACCAAAGCCATCATCCAGAAGATACAAGTGTTTATTAACAGTTGTCTACGCAAAATACTTCGGATTCGTTGGCCAGACACTATCAGCAACAACGAACTGTGGGAGAGAACAAGTCAGATTCCAGTGGAGGAGGAAATCAGGAAGAAGCGGTGGAAGTGGATAGGACACACACTACGAAAAGCACCTAACTGCGTCACGAGACAAGCCCTCACATGGAACCCTCAAGGCAAAAGGAATAGAGGAAGGCCAAGGAACACATTACGCCGAGAAATAGAGAAAGATATGAGAGGAATGAACAAACATTGGACAGAATTGGAGAGGGAAGCCCAGGACAGAGTTGGTTGGAGAAAACTGGTGAGCGGCCTATGCTCGATTGGGGGTAACAGGCTTAAGTAAGTAAGTAAGTAAATTCACATATTATATTGGTAATTTAGCCACTATGTGCATTGGAGCAACCTCCAAAAACATCTCATTAGTAATATTCAATAACTGATCTATACTTTCAAAATTATTGGATGTGTTTAGTAAACCTCGCTTTATGTGGTATTGAGGCAAAAAATAATATTGATTCTATTGCCTGCTACTTTTTATGTGGCAAATGTTCATATTTCTCATTTTATTATTATTACTACTGTCCATTGTATCTGGTAGCTCTATATTACGAAGGTTAATTTTCTAAATAAACCAGCATATGAATCCTATTACTCACCAGTGAAATAATGTATTGACTAAAATCGATGTAATAAGAAGCGTACAAATACCACTATTAACAAAGAAGCAAATGATAGTTATTTCGTTATAGTTTGTATCTCATCAACAGTACACACTCAAAAACCTCTCTCCTGGTAACATACGTTATTTGATTTAACTTTTGGTAGTATCAACTTTTTCAAACAGATTGCTTGTCCTGTCATATACTACAATAAATTCTACAACCATTTTGATCGCGATCGTAGCTGTAACCTTGACGTCGTCGCCGGGCTTGTCTATTATGATGACTGAACCAAGCCAGATTGGCTGCAGCGCATAATTCGTTAGGTCTTGTCATGCCGGACAAGTCATTTGGAAAACTGTTAGACTAAAAGCAGCAACTCAAGGTCTTGTACAGTGTGAACTACTATGTTGAACCCACGTGGTTTGTCCTACCTTTTGAGCAAACTAATTAACTTTTTCTGTCTGGGTTACTATTTGCACATTTTTTGACCTTGTTAATTATTCGCTTAAAATCTTGGTTGTTTAACTTGAATGTGTGTGCACCGCCTACTTCGCCTACCATTCCTCTAGTTTACTTTTGTCTAATTATAAATACTTAGTCATACCTCATTACAGTGAGTTAGCCCACCTGCCTTCACTGCTTCACTTTGCTTCGATTCGTTCCGCTCTTACATTTCTGATTCTATTGTCTGTCTGCTTTGCGACTGTATGAAACAAATCCGTATAAAATAAACCTTATTGAGCTTTTAATCACCGCTGTCGCAAAAAAGTGATTCTCCAAAGAATGATATACGTACACTGAATGAAAGATTCATTTCATAGAATATTCAATCGTTCGTCCGAAATGGGGTCAGATCCCGAGTCATTAAAGTCTGAGTGCGAAGTTGCAGGGGTAACTGTAAAGGTTTGTGACAGTGATAAGGTGTTTCACCCGGACAACCAGCATCTGCAGCGATGCTGCCTTCTCACAAGAAAGGAAGGGGTTAGAAAAGGCTGACCCTAAAAATGTCACCTCACTTTACCTAAAGGATTCCCATTTTCGGTGGTAAGACCTTGTAAAAAGAGCGGAGCTGACACGTCAAAAACTTCTCATAAAAAGGCAATGCGTGACCGGCCTCAAGCAGTTGTCCCTTGAACTGATAATCAAATCTTTCATCCACCTTTTAATAACTCTCTTTTCTCCACGACTAACCCTATTCGTATAACTTTCTCACCTCATGCCGCTAATGCTTACTATTTGAGTACACAAAACGTTATTTACGATATCCTGAAACCCCGTTCTAAACTACATTTTGGAGCTTTTAATGTTCGAACCATGTGCCACCCTAAGCAACGATGCTAGTATTTTCAGGATACACTTCTCTCCCTCCAAATACAGAATGTTGCTTCACGATTGCCCTGCATCGGCACTTGAACTAGTGATAGAGAGTGAAGTAGTTGAGTGTATTGACCGCTTCACTTATCTTAGAAGTCTTATTGGTCCTGACAAAATCTGTGGGCTGGGATACAAAAAGCTCGATCGGCTTCTGCCAAATTACGTCACTCATGATGTAGGCGACATATGCGTTTGGTAACCAAAGGACGAGTTTACTGTGAAGCAGTTCGTTCCGTCATTGAGAAGGTAACCAACCAAGACTCATATTCAAAGTGTTGAACACTTTAATCTGATTAATGATCATTGAATGAGAATAGTTGAAAATTGTAGAATATTAGAAAGCTGATTTGTCTCATTGTAAAAATCATCATAATGTTGTGTACACATAGTATTTTACGGAAATGTGAATAATTTTCAGTGTATTCCAATCAATTTTCATGTCATCATAATAAGATCAATCTTTACATTCTACAAAAATAATCCTTTCAAAATCAAGTGACAATATATTTATCGAGTATGAATATTAATAATAAAGTTTACTAAATATTTATAAAATATATAATTTGTAAATAAACTACTTAAAATCCGTTTTAAAAACCAATGATATTGTGATAAATAATACATTGTATTTACATTGTTATTCAGAGAAACAGTACTGTTTTATCATGTGATTTATATTTTATTCAATTTAAAAAACAACATCAAATGTCATTTTCATTGAATATTTTAAATAAAATGTAACTTGTTCTCAGTAGAATGTTGACTTTTGTCAACATTCTACATTCTTTTCATGCTTTTAAATCATGTAATTTTAGTTGTTGTTAGTCGAATAGTTTTTGTCGGGATACAGAAATTTATTACTTATATCATTCAATATTTGTAAAAAAAATATCATCACCACAACCTACTGTGGGAGAGAACAAACCAGATTCCAGTGGAGGAGGAAATCAGGAAGAAGCGTTGGAAGTGGATAGGACACAAACTGCGAAAAGTACCTAACTGCGTCACGAGACAAGCCTTCACATGGAACCCTCAAGGCAAAAGGAAAAGAGGAAGGCCAAGGAACACATTACGCCGAGAAATACAGAAAGATATGAGAAGAATGAACAAACATTGGACAGAATTGGAAGGGGAAGCCCAGGACAGAGTTGGTTAGATAAAACTGGTCGGTGGCCTATAATCTATTGGGGGTAACAGGCGACAGTAATTAAGTAAGTACTATGATCCATTAAAAAACTAATCAATGCTAAAGTTAGTAGTGTGTAATTTTAAGCAGTCAAAGTAAGCTGTCTATGAAAACATTAAAGAAAATAGCATGGAATGATTGTAAAAACTACTTGAAATTACTGTCATTATTAAGCTGAACAATAAAATTCACAAATCTTATACTTAAATTGATCTTATACCTAACTATTCCAATACAGAATGTTTTTCTCTTTTTCTGTGTGCATAATTTAAAAATGACATTGTTTATGAATGTAATAGTCTAGGATTAGGACAGTGAAATCAAGTCATTAGACAATGTTCTAAAAATGAATCCTTAAAAATCTGTTCACATTTTGATAACCTTATAAGTAAGTGAACAAAACTTTTTCAAAATTCCTATTTAATTGCTTATTAAGTTGAAAATTTAAATTAATGTTGAAAAAAATGTTTTCTTCTACCTAAAATTATTATTATTATTTTAATAGATTAGTTTGAAAATTTCGAAAGAATTCTGTATGAAATTTTGTTTGAAAATTAAGAAATACTAAAAGACTTGATAATTCTAGACTTGAAAACAATGAACTTTTGAGAAAAGACCTAAATTAATTTAATAAGACTACTTATAAAATTTAACTGATAATAGTACTCTAAACAGTGGCAATCAGTCAGTGTTTTCCGAAAAATCTCATATCTTAATATGCACATGGGTTTAACTGTCTTAGGTTGATTAGTTATGTTTGTAGTTGATTATTTAAAATAACATTATGTTTACTCGATCTAAACATTATCTCCGTTATTATTAAAACGTATAATTTCCAGTTCTTGTGTGTGTGTGATCTAGCTTACTCAACCCTTGCACATTATTGTAACGTTCTGAAAATATAACTTGTTTACTGTATGGAACATTGATTAATTTGATTGCGTTTTTATGTTTGAGGTCACATCAAGGCAAAAACATTGAGATTTTTTGATAAGAGTTGAAAAGGTGGTTATAATTTCAAATATTATGCCTAGTAATGGAATGATGTAGTATAACAAAATTAATAGATTAATAACGAATGAAACAGTTTTAAATGAAGAAGTAATTAAAACTTCAATAGAGGGTAATCACTTTTTTTTATTGTTTCAGGAATTTTCAATGCTGCATACCTAAGACTCGCATAAAGGAGATCACTGGACGGCCGTTTGGTCCTGGTATGGAACTCATCAGCAGCGTGCATCCACGACTCCTGCACCTCGTAGGATTCGAACCCGGGACCTTCGGTATTATGCGCGAACGCCTAACCATCGGACCACTGGGCCGGCATCCAAGGTGTTAATGTCTAACTCTGATTGATCTAGGGATTTTGCGCGACCTCACCCATTTGTCTTTGGTAGTTACTGCCTACACCCGACATGGTCGAACTCCAATGGTCACGTCTTCTCCCTAGAACTTCAAGAATTTCCTCAAGAAGCTAGCCACTAGTGAGCTCATGTTGCGATATTTTCAATTAGAGTTTTGGAGATTTGTGTTTTTACACATACCAGGACGAAACGGCCGTCCAGTGCATCCAGGTTTCTAATGGTGGTCTAACAATGATTGATTGATGATTTTAAATGTGTAAACAACTTTTAGTTTTCTTTGTGGTTTTGCAGACAATATTTGTCCTTGATGAAAGTTGACTTCAAGTCAAGTAGCTTACACACACTTCTTCATTTTAATATATATATATAAATAGATGACTGCAGTTAAGATTTGGTCTCGGTGAACGAATTCATCTGTAAGCTGGATTTTCTAAAAGTAGTCAATTCATATTTTCTTTATCAAGGTTTTGATAGAAATCAGGATATCATATATCTACTGAACTAAAATCTATGGGAAACTGTTTTTAACTTTGGCAAATTCGAAATATAGTACAAATCTTGTCTTAACTTTATTCAAACTGACTCAACTATCTTTCAGTTTAGTAATTTTAACTTTTTTTTTAGTTCAATTTAAGATTTTAACGAACAAATATACCTAGGCAGTCTTCTTTCTTCAACATGAAATGATATGACAGATATCTTTCTGTTTTGGATCATTCATAAAGGAGGTTTGTGGAGATTTTTGAGTTCTCATAGATCACATCACCCACTTATCTTAGACAATCATGGAAGTCCTGACCAATAGAGTTCAACTATGTTCGGCGTGAGACTGTTATCCACAAAAGGCACTAACAGATTGTCATACAGTATCTTAAATTGATTAGAGTTAGTCATTAACATTATTTGATGCTTGTTTAATGGTTTAGGGGTTAAGCGTTTGTGTGTTAGACTGAAGATCCTAGGTTCGATTCCAGGTTACGAGATCGTAGGTGTATAGTGTTAAGGTGTCTCATAATAGGACAAACTGGCTTTCCATTTCTTCAGGATTTCCAATGCTGATCTATTGAAGTTCACTTCGTAATTTGAAGACAATAACAAAAAACAAAAATCATCATAAATGTGGAAAGCAATTATAATTACCGTTTCATTAATGCATCTGTGTGTTACACACGCATAAAATCAAATTTGTTAAAAATTCAATACATTTATACAAATCAATATATGAAAGATATAGAGAGTAGACGAAATGAAATATATTTACTTCATCTTGTCATGTGTTTTCTTTTTTTTTTACAAATTTTTCTCAAATGAAAACTTAATGCTTGAAATTTTTTCCTTTTTAATAATGTATACATTTGTTGTTTGAACTGGCCAGTGATTGTATTGTCAAAAATTTTCGATTCATACCAATTGAAACAACAAATCAATTTATCAATTTATCAATTTATTCATTTCCATCTTTTCAATTAATAAAAACAAAATCATCCAATTGTTTTTTAAAGACAATAACAAAAAAGTTGATTATCAAGTTAAATTATAACGATTCAAGTGGCGGCACTACAATCATACATTGAATATTGAACTGGTTATTTTTTCTAACACACATATATAAACTTGTGTGTGGTATAAAAAAAAAGATTTTAAAAATGAGATGATCAAAATGAACAGAGCAGACAAACAAACAAACAAACACTGATTGAACTATGAAATAGATAAAAGTTGAATTAAACAAATTGTTTTTCATTCATAGAATAATACTGTTTTTTCTATGCATAGTTATGATTTTAAACAAAACAGTTATAATGATAATTATAATAGTAATATAAAAATGAAGTGAAAATATTCAACCATAATAAATGGAATGTAATACATGAACATTTCAATGTGCTTGATAAATTTCTCAAATAATTATAATCATTGAAATTGTTCAATGTTAAAAGATTCGGTTTAAGTGTAGTTAAATCATTCATTTGTTTTTGTTGATAATTTAAACATGTTGGACATAAGGATGATGATGGTTGTTGTTGATTGATTGTACTAGTAGTAGACAGTAGTGAATTGAAATCATTTACTGAAGATAAAGAGGAATAAGATGATGATTTTAAACGATCTTGTGTAAGATAAGTTGCACGTTTGTTTACTAAATAATAAAATAAGATAAAATATATACAATAACTTATGTAGAAAGTGATATTTTTTGAAATAAAAGATGAATTATTATTATTTTTATATATATTTAAGTATTTCAGTCGGTGAAATTGATGGGTGATTTTAATTGTGTGTTATTTTGAATTTATAAATGTTATTACCAAGTGTATGTATGATCAGAGTGTTCGAAATGTATTACACAAATATATATCACATAGTTTTGATAATCTTCATCCTCTTTGATTTTTATTGCACTGAGTTTTATGACAGAGTTTTGTTAGGATCGTCACTAGGTATGTTTGAAAGTATTACGGGTTCAGCTTAGTTGATAAACGCTAACGAGACAATGAACCAGCGTCTAGGTAGGCTACCCTGATCTGCTGACTAATGAAAAGTCTTGATATAGCTTACAAGGTATATTTTACAAACACCCAGCAAGCACAATACAATCAAGCACACAAATCTTCGTTTATTTATACATCATAGAAACGTCCTAGCACACTAAAATACACAGCAGCCAATTACAGTCAAGGATTTTCCTGGTGGGAAATGAAATCTCACGGTCAACTGATCAGCCCATGCTTGCAAACATGAAATCAAAAATTAAGGCATTTATCAAGCGAGTTTAGATGGATCTAACGTCCCCAAAAATTTAATTGTGTTGGGAATCATTGTATGCAAACATTTTCATGTTGATTATTAATACCCTAAATAAGTCTAGACAAGGTTAAATAATCAAAACAATGGAATTAGTTCAATTTTAATCGCTTAGATTAGTTTGAATACAATTAATTTAATCAATAATATGATTAGGTTTGGATTAATTACATTTTTATGGTAAACATGAACATTCAGAAATGAATTGACCAATCAGAATAAGATTTCAATGTAACATCAAAAGGTTAAAAGGCTGTAATGTAGTAATCAAATTTTGTATGAACTTTTATTACACAGACCAAATATTTTGGAAATGATCATATTTATATGAACTGGAACATTTTAAATTAAAATAAATTTGTATTATTTTGAAAAAAGGATATTTTTGAACTTCACCAATGAAAGAATGACTACTGAGAAAAATCAGTCACATAATGAATTTTTTTGTTGGTCAAATTTACATTACATTTTAGTTGCCCAACAGTATGTCACTGTAAACCGTTTTCCGGTTGATTCCATTTTAATAAAGTACGTATGGAATCTTTAATCATTAGAATACGCCTTCACAGCTATTTGTTTGAAAAATCTTGATCGAAACATGTTGACTGTGTATTGTGTTGTTTTTTATCAATAAGTTGACTGACGTATCAGTATGATATGGTGTATATTCAGACTACAAGTTGACATGAAATCTTAGATTGTACAAGCTGTACTTTCTGAGAATCAAAAGGAAATATATCTGAGAAATAGTGAATATTAGTGGCTTCTCTAAGCAACCAAACTTGAACCATAGACACTTGTTAAGCAGGAAAAAATTTTGTTAGGAAGAACTTGTGCCTGTTCTGGTTGCCTAATGACTTTTGTATTGAACTCGGAACCTCATCGAAGTATGGCAGTTAATGAAGAACAATATATAAATGAACGATAATGAAAATTAACAAATGTAACTAAAAGTGCTTATGTGACATATTTTTTAGACTTGATGTAGAGATTTGAGAATGATAGTGTGATCTTTTGTCACATGATTGGAGTTGCGTTCAACGTTACCTGTCAACTATCTAACATTTGAATGAAGTAGTTACGTTTTCAACTCACTCAGACTGTAAATTGACTGGTGGTAAGAACTAAACAAACATAACATTGGTTATCTTGACCATGTTTGTTTGAATTCACCCCAAGTTTTCTAATCAAATCTTTTTGTGAAATAAGCTCTTATTTTGATTATTTTAAATATCTAGCCTCAGAGTAAATCTATCAGACTATGAAATCATAGTATTCTATTCTAGTATTTTGGCGATACGTTTATATAGTAATACTTTACCATTTTTCTAAAGGTGTGACTCATACATTTGCCGACAAATCAGTATTTAAATCAAGAAAGGTTTATGAAAGACTTTCTTCGTTATGATAGAACTTTATTTATAAGGGAAAGTTAATATTAGTTTCATTTGTCTGTTGGATAGTCTGTCAATACTGACCAATAAATGATCGTTCCACAATGATATTATTCAGTGTCAGGAAAATAATATTTCATTATTTTCTGAACAACAGGCTCGATAATGCTAAATAGACCAGTGTACCTTTCAAATGAATTAAGAGATTACAAATGTGCATATACATATATATATTAATTGAGATTAGAGAATACTCTTTATGGCTATACAATTTATATGAATCAGCCTAGATCTTTTGATTCAACAGATAGAAAACTGATTATTTCATAATTTTCCATTTATTACTGACTATAAAACAAACTCTTCATAATTGTAAGATAAAAAATAGTATAATGGGGTAGAACATTCAATTGTAAATGATACAAAGTAGTAGTGAAACTTTGTTGATTATGTTTTGTTGACTGGACAAACAAAGATTTATAATTATTGAAATTTTGTAAAACCGCAAAAATCTTCACCTTATATTCCATAAAAATTGTTTGTACGTACAGAGATTTTAATTGATAATGGTATTTACGTTACGCTCGTCTCTAGGTATGCTTAGACTATTACGAGTTCACCTTAGTCGAATAACGAGAACAAAACTATGAACCAGCGTCAATGTTGGCTACTGTGGTCACTTGACCAAATAGAATCAATAAGAAGTCTTGATATAGTGTAGAAAGTGTATTCTACAAACACCCAGACAGCACACAATTAATCCAAGCTTTCACATTGCGTTTATTTATACTCTATAGAGACGTCCTTGTGACAGTCACAAAAATAGCACACTAAAATGATACAGTAACCAATCACAGCCAATGATTTTCCTGGTGGGAAATGTGATTTCAAGGTCAACTGATCGGTCCATGAGATAAATCCAAATTAAAGATATTTATCAAGCGAGTTCTGGGGATCCAACATCCCCAGAAGTTTAGTTTTCAAGATTGTTAGATTTTATTTGAATCAAGTATAAATGACACTTCATTTTGGGATATATGAATTCAATATAATCCATTGAAATTTTTCATAATATGAATTCAGTTAACGTTTAACTTTCCTTTGCTTACAATATACAATAATCTGAGTAAAAAAAATGCTGCATTCACTTCCATAATTTAAGAATATTTCCCACAAAATTTCTGCATTCTCAATTGTCTTTCGTAAATCTACATTTGTGTTATCATTTTCATTTACTTTACTAGATATTTTCTTGTAAACATTATAAGAATATGTAATTTTTTATTGTTTAAATATTTAGTAAAACTATATGAAGCCATGAAAAAATGATAGTTCGATTTATCGATTTTTGTTTGTTTGGGGAAAAGTTTATTCATGCATCTAAGATGTGTGCTTCATAGTTACCTAAATAATTGGCAAACTTAGTTGATGAATATCACTGAAATTATAAAACGATGTTCTCTCTGTGACTTGTGATCATTTCAAAAACTGTATACTATCGGTACAGAAACATTATTTTTTATCTAATTAGTAGATACCTTCAAATAGACCTACACAAGAGCTATAAATGCATAAGTGAGAGTGTTGAACCTGATCCCAATAGATTAACTGCCAGAGTGTATGATGTAATGATGTATATATATTTGAAATCATCAATCGATCTATGTTAGACCACCATTAGAAACCTGAAAGCACTGGACAGCTGCTTTGTCCTGGTATGGGACTCATCGGCAGTGCGCATCCACGACTCCTGCACCTCTCCGGATTGGAACCAAGGACCTTCCGTCTTGTGCGCGAACGCCTAACCTATGGAACACTGAGACGGTATCTGAAGGTGGTTATGTGGAACTTCGGTCAATTCACTGTATTGCCCAACCCCATACACTGTATTCGGTAGTTTCTGTGTAGATCCGAACAGGTTGAACTTCCCTGTTGACGACTTCCCACTATAACTCGGAGAAGATTCCTCCTGGGCTATTCACTAGTGAGCACAGTTAATTGCATTACGGGATTGTGACGGTTTTTAAGTTACACATTCGAAATCACGAATCGGTCAATCTTAAACCACGACTCAGTGATGCTGAGTTTGGGCGTTCGCGTGCAAGACTGAAGGTCCTGGGTCCGAATCCTGCGAGGTGCGCGAGTCGTGGATGAGCCCCATACGAGCACGAAACGGCCGTCCAATGCTTCCAGGTTTCTAATGGTGATCTAACATTGATGGATTCATGATATGTAACTTACCAATCTTCACAACCCCGTGATATATATATATATATATTGAGATGGTGGAGAAAACTTGTAGCTCAGGTGGATGATTGTGGTGGTGTTTTGTTCTCTGAGCTCAGAGAACAAAACACCACCACAATATATATATATATATATATATATATATAATGTATTCTATTGATACCTAAATATTAGATCACGTTGCGAAACAAACAAACACATTTAGATTCCGAATTCAACGATTACAGATTGTTTATACAATAAATCAGCTGTTTCTTGTTAAGATCAATTCCCATTCTCATTAGTCACCCTTAAATATACAATATGTTAACATAAACATAACAAAACAATCTTGTATTCAAAGGTGATTTAATGAAAATACTAGTTGATCTTAACAAGAACCAGTTGATTTATTGTATAAACAATCATTAATCATTGAATTTTGAATTCAAATGTGGTTTTGTTTTTTTCACAACGTGATCTATCCAGTATTTAAGTATCATTGAAACACATTATTTATTTATTCATAAATGTACCAGACACAATGTTGTGTTATGTTTATGTTAGACGCGCAACCTTGTGTCAACTTAAGATTCAATTAGTTACGACAATTATCATGTATGCACGATCCCAACATGTCATTTAAAGCTTTCAAAATAGTGAACTGCTGCTTCTAACTAATCGTTGAATTTTTTTTAAAATTTTGAGAATGACAGTTCTTAAGCGTTTTTGTAAAATTGAAATTGTTTCGATTTTTTAAAAAAAAAAAACAATTACCGCACTGTTTTTTAAGTATACTACTTACACAGCATTAGGTGTGTATCGCATAAAACGAAACACTATCAAGTGATCGATTTAAAGTTTCTGGAGCTAATTTACTATTATATCTCGTGGATTGGGATATTACGCATTAATATTCATTCAACTAATTTGATATCATGATAATTTAAAGGCAAGATCAACTGAATGTCTTTTGAAAAGCATGTGGTACTGATGCTCCATTTTTTTAAAATAATATTTCAAAAATATGTTTTACTGTGATCGATCGATTTTGTTTGTTCATTTTTAAGCGCTGAAGTTTGTTCCTAACTCATTCTATTGATGAAGTTACAGTAGAGTTAGTCTTTCAAAATAACTTGATATAGTATGTATGCAGTGTTTTGACTAAGTGATTATGTAAGGAATAGTGAACAGTTTACATTTTAGTTAAATTTTAATTTAGCATTGAAGTCTTCAGAGAACACTGATGTTTACCGGTTAACAAGAAGTCATATAAACTATTACTTGTTTGTTTAATCTATGATATTAAAGATTACAAGTCTCTATTTTTTTCAGTTGTCACTGATTGGAATTATGTTTAGTTTATACTTGTAGAGATAATGAAAATAAGTCATGCTTTCTATTGAAATGATAATGCAAACAAGTGCATTTAAGTACTCGTAAACGGCTTGCAAAGTGAAAATTTTTGTAACGTTAAGTGATATTTTTTTTAGTTATCGATTGTGAAGATTTAAGAATCAATTCAAATCAATTTGTCAGTGTAAGAACTGACGAAATATTTCGTTTTTTTGTATAAAGTGCAAGTTTCAGAAAGTACCATTACCATGTAATTTGTAAAAGTTTATTTATTTAATAAGTAACTGTAACCTAAGGAGAACCTTGAAAAAGATATTTAGCATAAAATATTGCTGTCATCAACACCGACAATTTTGGTCATATGAGAGTATAGTTCATCAAGAGAATTAATATCCATCAAAAAGTAGGATAAATATCATTTGTAATATTTTGTAGTGTAACACAACATTCAAAGATTGCTTAGTTGATAAATTCAAATAGCAGACTTGCATCTGAGAATCTAATCACAGGAAGATACTAGTCAACATATCTACAAGTCAGGAGTCAACTGTCTTACTGATCTACCTAGAAGTTATCTTAAATATTTTAAAGTTGTGAAAAGTTGTAAACAACTTGTATATATTTACTGTTAAATCGTAATTACTTTAGCTATGATTTATTACACTTATTCATCTTATTCATTAATTATTCTGGCAAACAAATAAATAAACCTTGGCATTTGATTAAAATTCGATATCAAGGAATCATTGTGTTTGAATCATGCCCCCCTGGAGACATGAAATAGTGTAATTTAATTCAGTAAATTATACAAACAATTAAGACTGATTAATTATTTTTCCTGTTAAAACCTACTAATTTAATTTGTTATCAATTTAGGTGAATAAAGTCTAAGTTAATAGTTGTCAACAAACAAATTAAATGAATAGAACTTACATTTTTCTGACATTTTTTCATATGAACCTTGATAGTTTGTTAATAAACTTGGAACACGATGTTCATAGTTCCCAGCATATGAATTGTCTAGAATGTAATGTATTAAAGATAATATAATTTTATCTGGCTTTAATGATAATTAGATGTTTATTATCAGTATTTACATGGTTAATCAAAAAGTAAATTAAATATTGGTAAATTATTATTATTAGTATCCCTTAATTATTGTTTGATTGACGAGGTTTTAATGCGAGTTTGTTGTCAATGAAGTTGCATAGTAACTCCGCCTGTAGACCCATTGAGGCTACTGCCAGTCTTGACATTTGTTTTGAAAATCCTGATTTTCAATACAAATGTCAAGACAGTTCTACTGTAAGGAACGGAAACTTGGAGAACTACGAAAGATATCATCCAGAAGATACAAGTTTTGATTGACAGTTGTCTATGCAAAATACTTCGGATTCGTTGGCCAGACATCATCAGCAACAACGTACTGTGGGAGAGAACAAACCAGATTCCAGTGGAGGAGGAAATCAGGAAGAAGCGTTGGAAGTGGATAGGACACACACTGCGAAAAGCACCTAACTGCGTCACGAGACAAGCCTTCACATGGAACCCTCAAGGCAAAAGGAAAAGAGGAAGGCCAAGGAACACATTACGCGGATAAATAGAGGAAGACATGAGAAGAAGAATGAACAAACATTGGACAGAACTGGAGAGGGAAGCCCAGGACAGAGTTGTTTGGAGAAAACTGGTGGGCGGCCTATGCTCGATTGGGGGTAACAGACGTAAGTAAGTTAGTAAGTAAGAAGTTGCATAGTACTGATAAGTAAAGTAGGTATAACAAATAGTAGTGAATTTCAATCTTGTATAATGACAAATTCGTAGCAGTTAAAATATGAACCGCTGTATCAAAACTAAGTGTTATAAAAGCCTTCACGTAGCAGCATGACTAGAAGATCTTGGATCCAGTCCTGCATAGATTGGTTAGACAATGTCAACTGGTCCACAATTAAAAAGGAATACTATAGGATTTGTGATATAATAACTATGTGAAGTCGATTTTCCCAGAATGTAAGCATACTAACAAAGATTGACCAAAATGTAGTCGAGAGTACTAACATTAGGATAGCTGAAACGCTTCATTATAATAATGTAAATACAATACTTATTGTGTTAGTTAGTAAATGTCTGGACTCACTAGGTCATTGGGTAATGTCTTGAGAGTTTAAGACAAGAGGTTCTGAGTTTAAGTCCCAGTGTGAACAGTGGCACTAGGATATAGATAAATCAAACTGACTTGTCCCCTACAAGATCTGATTTTGCTGCCAGTTGCAGGCTATCAATTATCAATCTAGATACCCAAATAACAAATGCTCTTATACGGTCAAAGTTGCTCACTTAGTTTAATTCATAATTAAAAGATAAACCACAGCATTACTTTGCACGGTCAAAAATTACTGATAACAAACTAGCTTAAAAGAGAAATTCCGAAGGTTTTGATTGTGAAGAGTGGAAGAATGAACAGCACCAAGCATCTATTTGTTATTACCGTGAAATGATTTATGTCAGAAGTGAGCCTATTTTAACTGATTGAAATTTTCATCTAGTCGTCACGAAACCTAAAATTTCAGTAGTTGGACTTTAATGTTTAGTTCCATAGTTTTCAGTTAAATGGTATTCGGTCTAAACAGTTATTCAGCCTTGTAAAAACATCAAACCTATCATAGTCATTGAAATCATCAATCAATCATTGTTAAACCACCATTAGAAACCTGGAGGTACTGGACGGCCGTTTCTTCCTGGTATGGGGCTCATCAACAGTGCGTAACCACGACTCCTGGACCTCTGGTCCAGACGCTATCACAAACACTTTAATTGCCCATAAAATATGAATGTTATCACTATATTTTTAATAAACTTAAAAATGAAAGGTTTTTTACTCAAATAACTGAACTATGAGCTAATAATATTTTGGCTTGCATTTACGTGAATCACTTAATTTAATTATTTATCGTAGAAAAACTCAAACTTCTTTTGTATACACAAATGGCCTAAGTCTAAAATTGCTTAATTCGAATAATCTTGTTAAATTTGAATGGTCCAGTCTAAACTCAAAAATATTCTTAATTTCTTGATTATTTATTCAATATGCTATAATTCCTTACATTCGTAAAACATGATAAATAAATATAAGTGGTACACTGTGAAATTAAAGAATTTCAGTGAGTTTTTATACTGACATCAAATGCAAACATTATTTTGGTTTAATTATGAACTTAACAAAAAAAATCTAAAATGCAATATAGTATTTTGTGTAATATCAAGTGATTTTGCACTTTGAATCATAATGGAATGACTTTTTCTAACAAAAATCATTCACTAATTGAATGAAAATGAACCTTTGTTGTTAGTGATGGATATTGTTGTTTTTCTATTTAAACCCATGAAGATAATCACTAAAATTTTGTAAATAATTTCTTAGTCTTACCAGAAGACTAGTTAGATGATGGAAACGTTTCAGACTATGAGTGTATAAAATATTTTGGATTAGGTGACTTTATGAAAATTTAATTTGCTTTTAAGGTGTTGACTCGCATTATGAACTAACAGCAACTGTTGAAGTATTGAAAACTACTGAGAATCGATGAGGTATTTTGCTTAAAAAGTGGTAGACTGAAACGAAGCATTTTTTAAAGATTCTTTATTCTATGGTTCCCAGTGGTTTTGTAGTTGACTTTAGTTTGCATTGTGACTGATGTTTAAAGAGCTTAAACATTGATTTAGCTTTTGCGACATTTGAAGTTGCTCTCTCTCTCTCTCTCTCTCTCTCTCTATATATATATATATATATATATATATATATATATATATATATATAGGACAAACTTCAGTCCAAAAAGCTATCAACAATTTGCCCGAAAGTTATGAAATTCTTCTCATCTAAGAGAGATCCTTTTCCATTTCTAGTTCACTGGGAATGCTAGCATTCTTTGATGTGTACAAACTATCTCTGTCAAGATCCATCAAAGATCAGCAATGTTTAAATTTTTCACCTTTCAAAAACATCAATTCGTATTACATTTTGTCAGATCTTTCAGTCATGTGGTTTAGTGAAAAAAAATGTTTTTTTCACAAAGTTCCAGTGTAATCGCTTGATATATATATATATATATATATATATATATATATATATATATAACTATTTTTGGTGCTTTGAATGATTCAATCTATCAATTAGATTGCTCTTATGCAATAACAAAAACACTAAGTAGCTGGAATTTAGATATAAAAACTATGCATAAATTATGGTAGAAAAGAATCTGTTTTTTGTAAATCGAGACTAGTTTGGTTATATGAAACATTGGTTGTTGAAATTCATTAAATTTCGTGTGATTTTAAGTTTTTTTATTATTACAATGGACTGAATGTTGAATACTGACTGTTATGTGTAGTTGAGGAACCCTGTTCAGTTTCTTCAACGCAAAGTAAGACTGGTAAAAGTGAAGAATTATTCCATTTCAAACAACAACGAATTTGCATTCATATATCGATGGATTTTTGCAAGCCATTTGATTATGAATAAGAAAAGAGTCGAATGCATAAAATTATTACACAGTCTCATGTTGCATGTGTTACGCTCGTCTCTAGGTATACTTAAACTATTATTAGTTCACCTTAGTCGAATAACGAGAACAAAACTATGAACCAGCGTCCACGTAGGCTACTGTTATCCCTTGACCGAATTGTATCAGCAAGAAGTCTTGATATAGTGTAGAAAGTGTAGGAAGCCAGCGCACAATAAATCCAAGCACTCACATTGCGTTTATTTATACTCTATAGAGACGTCCTTGTGACAGTCACAAAAATAGCACACTAAAATGATACGGTAACCAATCACAGCGAAGGATTTTCCTGGTGGGAAATGTGATTTCAGGGTCAACCGATTGATCCATGAAATAAATCCAAAATAAAGATATTTATCAAGCGAGTTCTGGGGATCTAACATCCCCAACAGCATGTCATGCTGAATATAATTCATATTAATTCGATAGGAAGAATATCATATCTTAAAAAAACACCACACTCAAATGAACAAAAAATAAGATAAATATTTCTCTGAATAATCATCATTTTGAACTAAACCGAAAGTAACGTCATTTCAGTGATCACTGTCGTCTTTTTCTAGCCAGCTAGCTATCAAACAATTGTAGATATTTCAGACATAAAGGATTTAATCAGCGGCTCCGACAGCATGATAATGATGTCACAGATTGTGGAGTTGAGTGATATAAGAAGGTATCTCACCAGGAATATCAATTCTTGTAAAATTACATGTAAACCTAGCTGACGAGCGCCGAACGTCAAGGAGTCAGTCTTAACTTAGAGTTTCCTTGTTACCTTAAACCCCTTAAAGTCTCAATATCAGAATTTGTTTCACTTGTAAGTAGTGCTCCATGAACTACATGTATGCAAGTAATTCACTTAAAAAGTATGAGTTAATAATGAGAAATGGAAAATTTAATTGGGACGTTTTTCTAACTTTCATAGCTAATGACAAAACACCCAGGTTTGAGCTGATAAAAAGTGAAAATTTGAACAAGAGAAGGAATCGTTTTTTCAAAGGTATTGATGTTTATCTCAGTGTACACTACTGAGTGATGTGGTGAAGGTATTTCACGAACAGTTTGATATTATCTGGATAGGCGAATGCACTCTGGTTGATTACATTCATCATGAAACCGTAAGTGACTTGATGGATTAAAAAGGTAACATTATTTATGGTCAGTATTCTCTTATCAATTGAATATGGACTTCAGTCAAAACAACAGACGTGAACTTTCAACCCGAGTAATATATATATATATATATATATATATTCACTAAATCGATTCAAGTGACCTATATTCATTATGTGTGTTATTACAATAACAATATATTTGACATAATAGGTGTTATTATCCAGTGTAAAAATCAGTTTATGAATGGATGTTATTTGGTTCAGTGACAATGAACTTTGGAAAGTCAACAAATCGTCATAATCATAAGTATCAAAACTGTTTCTATGCTTAACATCTTAAAATGTTTACTGTCTGATTTGTATGCCTATGAGAATATGATTTTGGCATTAAAAATTTCTTTGTACTCACAATTAGAATGTAAGTGATGTAGGTAGCCAAGTATATCTACTTAACTTCAAATTTTTATTGTACTTTGATTCAGTTGCGTTTGCTAATTAACCGAATGATATTTACGATTCTCTTTGAAGAAAGATATTTATATTAATAAAAATAATCATTGTTTAAACAAGTGACTCCAGATTCCTATTATATCAAGTATTATTAAAAATTTTCTCTGCCAAACTAAATATCTGTTATGAAGTATAAACTGATTTAAAATGAATTAAGGAAAAAATTTGATTAACTTTACTTTAGGAGAATTTTGTAATATTATCTAAAATTTATTTACAGTAATCGACTGTACTATTTGTCAAGAACAGTAAAATTGATTGAGTTCAGTTCAAATTTGAAACTTGTAATTTAACAACTAAGTAATATTTATCACTGAAATCATGAATCATTCATTGTATGATCACCATTCGAAACCTGGAAGCGCTAGATGGCCGTTTCGTCCTGATATGGAACTCATCAGCAGTGCGCATCCATAACTCTTTCTGTTCGCTGGATCCGAACCCAGGACCTTCGGTCTTACGCATGAACATTCGGTCAGCATCTAACGGTGTGAATGTCTAACTCCTATCAATCTAGGGATTTCGCATGATCTCACCCTAATAATATTTATCCGTTAAGGTTTGTCAAAACCTGATTCTGCTTAATAAGGTTTTGACCTACATGACAAATTTACGACGTAATAACACTAATGGTGACCTTCTTTGTTGAAGTTGACATGATCATGAGATATTTTGAAATGTGAATTCTTATAGTAAGCAGATAATCTTTTTTATGGAACCTTTGATAATTCATTAAAAAAAAATTAAATTAATAGTTAAAATATTCAGTGTTATAAAAATAGCGTAAAAATATTAAAAACTTTCTATGTTATATTTCGTATGTTCTTTGTAATGTGCTTTAATAATTAATATCTTATACACATCATAGTGCCTGTATCACAGGATTGGATTCTTCTATACTGTTCTGAAAATTATAAAATATTAAAACTAGTTCCAACAACAAGTATACTGTTAACAGGTAAGAGTTAATTGTATTTCGAGATTCAATTTAAGTGTTACAAAGTTCAAATTTACTTACCCCATGTTGTTGATGGAGACGAGTAGGTTCCTGAAATAAAAAAAAGTGTTTAAATAAATCAGTTAACTCCGGAAAATTTTAAATTTTACATCCAAAACTAGTAATGTACAACCGCAGTGATTACTTCGATCCATGACTGGAGTATCAGTCAAGGAAAAATGGATATTAGAGAAACATCTAATTCCTCTTCCACTCTCAGTTCGCGAGAATTTGTTGTCATAATTACCTTGACAACATCTTCCGTATTACATATTATTTCCAAGCAACATTATCATCGATTTCTCCATGAACGAGATAAAATTTGATTGAAACGATTGATTGTCTTACTGTTGTTACAGTGGTCATAACTTGACATCCTACACAACAAATCATTGTGACTTTTTTTAAAAAAATTTAAATGACCTATTGCAATGATAAATAATACAATCTTTAAGTGATTATACTGTAACAGATGCAAAGGTTCAACAATTTTAACATATCATATTATCTAATTTGTTAAGGCCTGTTTTATTTTTTGACCTTAGTAAAATAGAATACAATAATTAAATAGACCTATGAACTATAGAGTCAGATGAAAAAAAATTTATTCATTCAAATCGTTCTTTGTATTCGGTTTACATTGGTATGATCTTCTTTTTTTTTTTTTTGTGTGTGTGGGTACTTAAAGTCGGAAATGCTGACTATGAAGTATGGAGTAAGTGATATATTTATTACCAAAAATACATTGTCGTGTGTATGGGCAGTAAGAAATGATGTTATCTGGTTTTAGTAATATAATGTTGTCTTAAGACTGTTTGAATCGCATACATTTTTCCTGAAGTACAATTTCATTTTTCTGAAAAAAACTAAGTTTCATTCTTTGTTTAATTAGAATTACTTTGGCACTATATTGTAATTGAAGCTTGGAAATTTTTTCGTAGTAATAGTTGGTTTTAATATATTGGGATGCTTATCGAATGACAATTCAATCAGTATAACTATTTCCGTTCACTATTTAGCAAGTTAACACCCTAACATTATTTCTCACAACTGCTTAGATATGAAAATAAAGATCTTATATCTTGTTGAATATGAAGAACAGATATTTTTGAAGTTGGATCCATAATGCTTCACGAAATTCCTTACAGTATTAACTAGTACAAATAAATAACAGCAACATATTGACAGTTAATCTAGTTTCAATTTGAATTTTATGGAACTTAATCATAAATTCATGTTTTCTTTGTAAACGGAATAATGGCAAGTTAACATTCAAATGTAATGTTATAGTGGTGTTTCGTTATCTGAATTGGATCTTTTGGTTGTGGAGCTTTCATTAGTATTCTTCTGAACAACATCATCAGAACAAACTGTAGAGAGAAGTTAAGTATCTGAAGTTTGTGCTGATGATGTTGTTCAGAAGAATAACAATGAAAGCTCCACCACTGAAAGATCTAGCTCAGATAACAAAACACCACCACAGTCATCCACCTGACCTGTAAATTTTCTCCATGTAATGCTCATGTCTCTAATATTGTGTACACTATGAATAATAAACATTTTCATATTCGAATGAATATGTTTTCAACTACCTTCTTTGTTTCTACTCTACAGTTATGCCAATATTAATGTAAATATCAGACCGGAAGAAGTAGTTTTCACATAGACTATTCACATTTATATACTGGCTATGATAATTAGTCAAATTAATTGGTATCCTAAAAGTTTCATGACTAAATAAAAATTTATAGACATTGTTATAAAAAATTAACTATCAGTATATTCAGTGAAAATTTAATTGAACTAATATTAAGGAAATTAAATGTTTTGACCGTTACATAAAGTTGGTCAATAGACTATAAACAAATATTGGATTTGAATATATTATATTTGATGTCTAAGGAAGTATTAGGTCGACTATACACTGTAATATGATGAGATAATATAACATTTTCATAAAGTAGATGTGACAGACAGTGAGGTTTATGAATAGATTATGTAATAGTTGGAGTAAGTTTTCAGTTCTCTTTTCTTTTCTATATTCTTGGTTAACCAGCATACCTGCTGCACATGCACTCCTCTGCGTTTTAAGAAGCACAAGGATTCTCACAAGAGCCAATACTGCCATCACCGTTGTCCCATACGGGAACATACATGTTGTCCAGATTGGCCTACAGACAAGTGGATGTCCAAAAAGCACGCACACGAGCAGTGACCCTCGTTCGGGCACTTATGAATCAACAAGATCCCTCCAACCAATCCACTACCCACAATCCCCAATCGACAAGGGCTGCAAGGCCGACTTTCCCAGCTAAACCTGGTACCCCGAGCCGATTACCGAGCCACCCAGCAGCCGTCCAACCGTCTGGTCTCCAACTGCCTTGCGCTGATACAATCGACCGGAGCCCTCAGACCCAACATGAAGCTAAAGATTGAGCTTGTCCCACAAGGTTAGCCGGAACGTACAGACTTCCATGGGGAAGAAGTGCAATCACCCGGCCAAACAGGGTTAATCCCACATAAGTGGGCAGACATCATTGGCGTTCAGTACCCTTTCAGCACTAGATCACATAACCCAACTGGAGACCCTTGTTTAAGGTGCCTCGACGCCAGTTCACACAATACACCGAGATGTAGAGTGTTTGGGACAACCACATAAGTTCGGCGTCAATAGTCCAGGATCTTTACGGCTGCTTCCCCAAACAAGTTGTCTAGGGCCGCCTTCAAGTATCCTGGAATGCTATATCCCAATATTTCAAATTTACCTACGCTCCATGGACGAGATTCAGACTTAGAGACTTTCAGTCCTAATCCTCCAGAGTGGATAACCGCATCCACAGCCTTGCGACAATGAACACGTACCGTTATTCTGGACCATGCTTAGCACGGTATCCTAAGCGTTTGGAACGGCTTTTAGCCGCAGGGCTGTAAACAACGCAACGTTGCCTGACAAGACAACGAGGAGGTAGCCGCCACCACAACCCCCAGAAAGATCCATTTATGTGCGTCACCTAATATACCCATTCAATTAGATGACTAGGCATTTGGCTACCTTAAGAGAGTCATAGTTACGTTCAAATTTAGCAAAATTATTCAACTAGAGAAATAGAACTTACTTAGTCTAACATCTTAGGACTAATTTAATGTCATTTTATTCATCACATATACAAGAAGTAGTTTTTGGGGGTTTCATTTGTTAATTGCCGAACTTAGTTTTTATTATGAGATGGCATCAGATGCAATCACTAGAATAACGCGGATGAATTGGACAAACGTTTCATTCTATAAACATGAGAAATTCATAGATAGTGGTGAGTTAATTAATCTATTTCAGAGACTGATCTGATCTAGATAGCAGTTGAAAACCAGGTAACGACGGACGATTGTTTCGCCCTGGTATGAAATCCCTCAGCAATTCAGGAATTAATTCAAATTATTAATGTAATCATTTGACAGCAACTGAATGGTTCGGAGTTAGAGTTCGCAGCATATCTTGAGAATTTCGGGATAGATCTGCTGTGGGGTTTGTTGATTCGCGCTATCGAGGAGTCCTATACTAGGACAAATAATTGTTCAGTGTTTTCTGAATTCCATTGGTTACTTAACTAGAGCCAGACAGTAATGTTTCGTTTTAAAATGCCCCCTAACCAATACAGAGAGGAATGAGTGCTATTTACATGGCTACAAACAGTATAATTAATAAAAGTAGATAGAATTGAGAAATTCAATAATTACATGCGTAATTAATTACTGTTCACAAGTTCTAGATCTAATCCTAACTAAGATACATTAATGTACCAATATATTAATACGATTTTGTTTAACTAAATCCTATTGATTTTAATTCATTCATTAATGATACCTAATCTGTTATTAGGTTCCTACTGAGATGGTGTTGAAAATTCTCTTAATAACTGAAGATAAAAAATCATCAGTCTATCAGTTCTAAACTTTTGAATGATATTATTCAATCATTTTGTCAAACAATGAAACTCATCTTTATTAAATCAATGCCATTCTTGATGAAAGCCACTTACAAAAAGGTTTTTCTAAATTATATTTCTTCTACCTACTCATTTTATGATATTTAAATAACTTTTACATAGATTCTAACAGAACAATTGACAAAGTTAATCATTCAGAAATGTTTCTACTTTCTTTAACACTCATCATTAATTGGTTATCCTCAGTGACTTAATCATATGCGGAACTAACATTCATAGGAAGTTTTTAAACATTCACCTAGTGTCTTAAGAAAATACATTGTGATAATCATGCAACGAAAATAGTTCAGCTTTGTTAAAATGTAAAACGGCATTAATTTAAACAATTTAAAAGTGCTTTAAATATGACAGTTAGTTAATTTGCATAATTAACACAAACAAACAGATAAACTATTGACTAATTGAAAATTAGAAAAAAAGAACAACTCAATCAAATTCATAACTAACTTACTAAATATTTCTGTACTATTACGAAATGTACCAAATGGTGTTTCAACTACGCATGTATATTGACCATAGTTAGCTATAGTTAAATTAGCTATAAATAAAGTTGTTCTAATGACGCCATGTTTAGAATTTGCTTTATCTTCAAATAAGGGAAGAAAAGATAGAAATAGGCACGATATAAACATGGACTGATTAGTACAGTTGTTTTGATCAAAAAAATTCCGCGGTCATTAGATGTTTTCCAATCGTTGTATCAAGAAAAACAATGAAAATCATCTGATTTTTTAGTGTTTTACACGCGATCGATATTGGAATGGAGGTGAACCCAATTGACAAGTGTCAAACAATGGAGTATCTCTTTAAAGATCACTATTCTTACTGACACAATATCACAATGTCTATTGACATAATTCATAGTCTTTTGTAAAAAAAGAGCTGTCATAGTCAGGTATGTTTCAGTCTTTTTTAAAGTTAAATAAAATGTACCTACTGGTTATTTAGTGTTTCATATTGTTGAAAGTATTCACTATATTAGTATTTTTATATAATATTCATTGATTAGCCTCTTTGTACTTTAAAAAAAAAACACTATCATCTACAAGAATAAGCTTTTAATAAGCCTATTAGTAGTAAATAATTCTGATCTAAATAGTTTTCTAAACATTATAACGTAGTCAGTACCGGTTGCAACAATTGCCAAGTTGGATTTCTTAATAGTATATATAGGGCAATGAAAGTTCAAGCTAATTATTGATAGTTATGAACATAGTTCAACTTATAATTCTTGATAATTGCATACTTCAATACATATTTTGTTATGATACCTATTTCATAAGATGAAATATCTTGTTTAATGCATGTTATTATTATTCATTGTGAATGTTGTTTATACAGGCTTATTAATAAAAAGTTTAATAACTTTTAAATAAGTGTATCATAAATAAATAATTAATAAAGATTTTGAGGTTAAAATTATTTGGGTTTATTTGTTTGAATCATTTGTAACTAACTAATGTACACAATCAATACTTGAATACATTTGTAGAAATATAAACAAATATATATGTATGTGAATAGTACCATGAACATTAGGTTGATTTTGTAAATAATTCGTAAGCAATACTGACGGTTTGTTTACCAGATAGCTTGTCTTACAACTACTATCACTACTACTACTACTACTGTTCATTTATTCATTTCAACCATTTTCATTTTAGTTGAACTATTGAAATTTGAATTATTTATTAATAATGAGAATAGATTGAAACAATGAATTTATGGAAAATGTCGCTTTAATTTCTTATGATTTTCACTGAGGCCAATTAGTTTTAATCATTATCAATTACTGTTTACAACTTATCGGTTGGTTGAATATATGTGTGCAAAATGTGTAAAGTTTTTAGATTAAATAACGAATATCGATAAATTTGTTATGAAATAACTAGAAAATGTACATGTTAAAATAAGGAAATTAAATCAAAAAATGAAAATAATTGACTAAGTTTGACTTTTTTTAAATACCGAGTTTCAATAGTGCAAATATTTCTAGTTTCAATTTTATATTATGAATCAATCAGATCCCATTGTTGTTTTTTTAAATGGTATTTGTTGTTAAATAATTATTGATTCATCGTATATATTTTCTCGCCTTCTCGCCTCTTTTTTTTGCATTTCGATTTGAAATGAATTGTAATCAGTCATATTGTGAATCAATAAGAAATCGATGTCATTAAATACAATATTGAATATTTTGCAATTTGAATAATTCTCACATCGATAATATTCATTGAATAAATTTTCACGGATAATATTAGTACAGAAATATTGACAATTGAAATGATTGACTGAAAATTCGCGCTTGTTTCAACAGATAAAACTTTCAGTCAACTAAAATTCTCACTTTCAATATCTAAACCCACCTTCATACTTCGATTCATATTGTATTAGAGTGTATTCCATCATAGAAGTGTTTTTATTTACTAACCAAATTGTGATTATTTTGTCCAGAATTAGGATGGAGCACTATTATTACTAAGATCTTTAATTGGAGCTTATTAAAACTACACCTGACTAGTTATATAAACAGTAAACTTATATGTATTATCTATTAATTTGACAATGAACGGCCATCATCTATCTTGTTGTACAATCAAAATGGAATCAGTGTAAATGTGTTTTTCTGGTTGTATACCACGAATAGCTCAAAAGTTGAATATTGAATATAACATTCTTTGTTTGCATACATTGAACGTGAAAGCGTTATTTACGCTAAAACTCAGCATTTTTCTGATCCATATGGCTTAACTATTTTAAAAACATGAGCTCATTCCGTGAATAATCTGGTGGACAGTGATATTGATAGTCTACGCTTAGTTAGTAAAATTAAAAAACGGAAGACAATGTTTTGCTGCGACACTACAAATACTCATTATGTACTCGTCAATCAAAACTGTTCATCCGATATACTTAATCAAAGATTTATCTTGTAGAAATTTTTAATAGTCACCATTTTGAGTAAATCGGCTATAAGACAGGAATACGAACAGAAAGTTTTTCTTCATTTTTCTTAGTTATTTGAATCTTACGATTGATCCTTAGGACTGTAATTAATCAGTCTCTTTCGGCTTACATCTATCCTGTGGTGATCGCTTCAATATTGTCATTAGGTTAGAAGTATTTTAATCAAAGATGGAGTCAAGGAGTCATCCGCTGGATGTGCCTATATATTTCATTGTTGAGATGAATCCCAATGCTAGCCACTATCTATCTCTGCTTAGAATGTCTTTCTGAACTAAGCAATGTAAACCAAATTTCAGTACTTTTTGAAGTGCAAAGTTAGATACAGTTATATGTAGATGAAACGTTTTGCGAAGTTTGAATACGTACTTAGAACTCTGTGCTTAAAAACTATAAACATTTGACAAATAAAACTGAATGATCAGTAGAGGGTTGTGAAGATTGTTGATTTTCACTGAAATCATTAACTGACCCATGTTAGACCACCATTGAAAACCTGATGGCCATTTCATTTTTATCTTCAACACAGAATGATCTTAAATTGTTACATTGTATTTCGATTGATAGAATTTAATTCAAATTACGTTGTAAAGTGGTGAATCTGTTGGGGATGTTAGCTCCCCAAAACTCGCTTGATAAATGCCTTATTTTGGATTTCCCGTTTGCCAGCATGGGCTGATCAGTTGACCTTGCGATTTCATTTCCCACCACGAAAATCCATGGTTGTCATTGGCTGCCGTGTATCTTAGTGTGCTATTTTCTTAACTGTCTCAAGGACGTTTCTATGATTTATAAGTAAACGAGAGTTGTCTGCTTGATTGTATTATGATTGCTGAGTGTTGTAGAATATACTTTCTACGCTTACCAAGTCTTCTGTTTTGCAGTTTGGGATTCGAGGTAGCCTACCTGGACGCTGGTAATTGTCTCGTTCGCGTTTATCGACTAAGGTGAAGTCGTAATAACTTCAAGCGTTCCAAGTGACGAACACAACAGAATCGGAAAATAATACAAATTAATGAAAAATAGGTTTGCATGATTTCTTTACTCACCAATTAAAATACAATATTTTTCATTCGGCATCGGGACAAGACAATTACTATTCGGTCCATGAATTGGTCTTCCATTGAATTCCCAATAAAATAAATTAATTGGATTGCCAGCAATTACAGCTCGTACCATTGTTGTACCTCTAAGTAGTTGACCAAGTTTTAGATTAGCCATTTCAATAGTTGGAGGATCTACAATGATGATAATTTATACAGAAATTCAAATGTATTTCTCAGGACGAACAAACCAAAACACTGTTTCACTCACTCTGTGTTAACTTTAGATAAATGTCACATTTATTTATTATCTTGTCAGGCAGATTTTTAACTGGGATAATACCATCAATTGGAAAAGTAACAAAAAATATTTATCCAACGAAACTGTTATTATGTCAGAATCTTTCAAACGAAAAAATTTTATGGTGTAGTAATTTCCTATGTTAGTAGTTTTGGAGTAATGTCAAGTAGTTGTAAGACAGAAGAAACTCAGAGTTTTACAGTGATACAGAGAACAGAAAATATCAATCGCACTATAATTCTGAATCCTCTCTGTTCTATAAGTAATTCATCTTGGTTTATTATTTCAGTCTCAGATAGTCTTTTTTTAAAATTATCTGTCGTTTCCAAATTATTTTTACATTACTCTGATACTACCTATTGTGGTTTAATCCTCTTTGCTGCGTTCAATTTAAGGAAGGATATTGATGCACTAAGTCATGCATTGCCGGTCTTATGCATCTAACACTTATTACAATAATTATTTGAAGCAGACTGGTAGATAAACGGAAATTATTGACTTAAGATCTTTTATGACGAATGTTTTATTCCTCAAAGATAAGAGAGATGATCATTATTGATAATACAATATCACTGTTAGTTTTCTACACTTCATTTTAGCTTTAGGTCAACAGTGGTTATAAGTTATCACATGAAATTCTCTTTTGTTTATAATACTGAATATTTTATTAGATTTTTTTTGAATTTATACATCATGCTACTTAATATGAACTAGTAAGGTCATTACATTTGCATAATTTTATCATTCTTGGTTCTAAGAACACATCGATAATGAATGAGACCTAAACTTTTGATTGTTTGCTTGCTATAAATAATTTGATGTTTATTCTGTTAAGTGAACAAGATACCTTTAATTTATGGTCCGAAAAGGTGTTCGAAACAAAGTTGACATAACACATAAATATCAATTTTCTAACAAATAACTTTCACTTACATCGTACGTCAAGCTCTATGATACGCCATGCATTTTGTTCTAGTCCATTTTGTGCTAGACACTTATAAGTTCCTTGCAAATCACGAGTTATATTTGAAATCATTAACTGATTTGGTTCAATTATGAATCCTTTATGTAAAATGTAATAAATGAAATGATAACACATATCACTGATGCGATGAAAAATTTAATTTAATTAAAAATATTACTTATGAGTAGTATACTCAATTCTACCATAAATGACTGACCCGATATCGATAGTTGTGGTATTAGTCTGTTACAGTGTTGTTGATAAATGTTTTAGATTATGTATATAAATTAATATTAGTGACTTATTTATTCAATAACACAATAAATTACTTATTATCTGTTTTATCCTAAAAGACATACTAATGAATCATAGATTGATACAATTTAATGCAAAACTAAATATAAAACATTATTATTTTCTAAAAAAAATACAGATCTCTAAATTTATGTTAAATATACTGTAATAGATAAGATACTATGATTCTGTATGAAATAAAATCCGTCTAAGTAAATAGCTGTGATATTTCCAAGAACATTTTGTAGTTAGATGTGTCATGCCTTTTTTACTAATTTTGAATGTAATAATGTCAATGGAGCCTCATCGACTTGATAAATGAATCGGATAGGACGAATAAAATCTGCACGTTTCTACGTACTTGAAATAACTAGTTGAGAAACCCTTGAATGCGATTATAACCTTTTGATATAACAATTAAGTTTAGATTATAAACAAAGTGCGAAAATCTGTTACGCGACAAATAGTTTTTGGTGTAAAATAAGTGAATCCAGATGTGGAATTGCTTACCATGGTTATTCAAGCCACTGAGAACAAAATTCATTCTCCTCAGCCATGTATATTAATTGCGTTTGAAATATATTTTTAGTTTTATTTGCTCTGTTTTTAAAACTCATAATTAACCATCAATAGACGTTTTATAGTGTAATGAAATCACTTTCCATCCTTTACACACATTCAATTACTGAAATAGTATTTAAATCAACCAATATGTAGTAATATGACCAATTATCCTCAAAACAACAATTATTTTTCTCTAAACCATCCAGATTAATTACAATTTGTAAGTCTAAAATTAACACCTCCATTTATATTTTATTATTCTCGACGAAAAATGAATTTTTTGAAAAAAAGCTGATAATGAATTGAACTGTAGTAGTCAGTAATATGTTTGATAGACTGTGAATATGTAAATATTGATACACTATTAATAATTCTCAACATTTACTTAAGATTAACTGGTAAATGATAATTAGATGATTATTACATAGTTGTCTAAGGAAATATAAATAATAAAAGTTAGTTTTCCACTAACTATCAAGGATGTTTTGAATGAAACTGTTATCATCAGAAATTATGACTTGATTAATTTAAAGTGATTGATTGATACGGAAATAAGTAAACAAAAAAAATATTATAAACGATGCATCAGGCCATTCATCTTACTTTTATCAGTCGCCTCGTATATTCGATATTGACGTCCTTCTTTCGGAGTTAAATACCATGTGATAATAGGCTCTGGTACTCCCCAAGCTTTACATTGTAAGATAACTTTTTCACCTTCATGGGCGATTACTCTTGTAGAACTGGAACTATTTTCAGAAATAACCGGAGGTACTATCAGAATGAAGAGTAAATAATGTATTTTACTAGGCGAATATGTTTCTACTGAAGTGATAAAATTATGAATATGTACGTAATAAGAATATCCTGTAAATATCATGTTTGTGAACATTGGTCAAACAAATCAGATCTATAAGTCTACATACATTCCTAGGTCTTACGTAAACTCATAATAGTACTCAAAAAGCAAGAGATTAACTGAAGTACCAATCAAAGAAAATGAAATCAGCTTTCTTTTAGAATTGACAACAATGAGTAATCTGACAATATATTGAGTGCTTCAATATATGATCGAATTTTGACCTTTCAGACTGGGATAAAGTAACATTTCCATGCAATATTTTCGTACATGCAGTATTATAGGTCCAGTTACAAAATAGGCATTTAATTCTAAACTTCTACACTGAAAGGTTAGCGTGTTTATAATAAATGTTATGTAGTATAAAGGCTTTCACAGTTTGAATGTCAGTGGTTCGCAAACAATGTGAATAAAGTCCAATCAAGAACGTCAAGTCTGAACTTGGCTTTTATTTAGGGTGTACAAGCAACACATCTTGTCGGGTAAAGAAATGAAAGATGTATAAGATTTATTGAGTTCTAAATAAGGTTACGTATAGCATGATAAAATATGTAAAAAAAACTAAAATCCATATTTATATTATAAAACCTAGAGATTTATTTTTGAAGAGACAGAATAAGGTTACCTAAATTGGTTAATTGACCTTCAGAGTGATATGAAGTCATTAATTATCAAACAGTAATATTTAAATCTCATAAATAATAAGTAGCCTTTGAACAAGATTATAGTGAAACTATTTGAAATGGACAAATCAAGCAGATTCAAAATAGAATGTTTTTCTATTTTTATTGAAAATTAATAAAACACGATAACAGCTGATTTGAACCGTATGAGAATCTTTGTAAAATTTAACCTAATTCAATTTTCAATATTTTTTAAACTAATAATTATACATTTATTATATATCTTTACAAGAAATATGACATGATCAAAAGGTGTACTTCATCTGGTTCAGGGCTTTGTTAAGAGAGTTTATTTAGTCTCTTCATTTAGTATGAACTCACCCCTACAGGGAATCGAATGTAAATCTGTGCAATTTACGTAGTTTGTTTTAGTACATTATGTATCCTCATAAGCTATATTATGATAAGTAACCGCAAGTGTAAAATCAAGTTCTTTTATTATATAAACCTATCTAGGAATATATAAAATGTGTGAACGTAAAATTATTAAAAATTAATTTGTTCACTAAATAATTTATCATTCTAAAACTTACCAAGTACATTGAGATAAACACGTTGTTTATAAACTGTTTCACCATTTGAATATAAGCATACATATTCACCTTCATCGGTTCTTTGAACACGATCAATACGAAGGTCAAGTATTGTCTGATCAAATGACGACATATCGAGTATATATCGAGTATCGGGATGAAGTCGTCTGTTATTATGAATCAGATATTCATTGGTTTTAGTTCTTTTCCATAAGAGCTGTAAAAAAAGTAGTTATATTAGATATTAAACTACCAACTGTGCTCAATAATTAGAGCGATATTAAATAACCCTTTTTTTGAAAAATGTCCACTAATAACTAATGATCTATTCAATGATTGATAAACAGAACAAAATTGGTTGAAAAGTCTGTGAACATCAATAATTTTTAGTCAGAGTTTTTGAAGGTTTGTGTTCTTACACATTTGAAATCATCAATCAATCATTGTTAGACCATCATTAGAAACATGGATGCTGGCCCAGTGGTCCGATGGTTAGGCGTTCGCGCACATTACCGAAGGTCCCGGGTTCGAATCCTGGGAGGTGCAGGAGTCGTGGATGCACACTGTCGATGGGTCCCATACCAGGACGAAACGGTCGTCCAGTGCTTCCAGGTTTCTAATGGTGTTCTAACAATGATTGATTGATGATTTCAAATGTGTAAGAACATCAATAAGTTGTTATAGAAGACAATATGAGAGATGTCTGATAATAAAGTTAAGACATTATCGAACATATAAAAAGTAACTTCTAACAGCAGTGTGGAATATGATGTCAAATTGTAATAGATCATTGAAAATTTCATGACTTTGACGTAAATATGTATATTAAGGTAAGCTAAAATCAGAATAGCTCGATAAACTTCGAATCTCATAAAAAGATCATATTGTTTACTTATTGCATTGTTGAAAATCACACTAAAGATTGTATACAGTTGACATTTTGACAAGTGAATTGGAATGGTAATCTATTTACATTTTAGTAGACAGAATATTTCATTTATTTATGTTAACAGTTTGTCTGCATAACTGCAGTGGTAAATTCAAATGAACATAACCATTGTCTTTATAATCCAAATGTTAATTTCAATTTCATTTACCCATTAGTCATATTTACCAGTTTATTTGAAGTGTCATTATGAAGATGTATTTATAAGATTATTCTTTTTTTTCTATTAGGTGTTAGATAAGTGTTCTTGAATTGAACATATTTATATATATTCATATATGATTGTTTTCTGGTTAAGTGAGAAAAAAGCTACTCAATTATATTATTATTAGTAGTAGTATAAACACTGAATATACAATAATGATATTTATTTTGTGGTAATTCATTTTTATTGCCTAAATTGATTTCCCTTGTTTATATATATATATATAAGTTTTGACATTAGGAATATTGTTTTTTTGGTTTACTAGAAGTTACACATAAATTTGAATTGATGAGATTTTGTTAAATGCGAAGTTTCATATCTTCAAAAAAGAAGTAGTCAACATATTACAATATTATTTCAATATTTTTGTTTCACTTATTTAATAACTTTTATGTATACACCAATCAAACTACTTTTTACAGAACTTTCTCTTTAGTATGCACAACAGGTTGAGAATTAACTAAATATTTCATGAATGAATATGTTTTTGAAAACAGTTATTACAGCTCATTACAGCTCAAAGCTATCTAGAAAGAAATGAATTATATCAGAGATTAAAAAATTCCATTGTATTTTCATAGTAGAGTGTTCATTCACGAAAAGCATATTGCTGCTATTTAGAATTTTATATGGACATCTTCTATGAGCGATAGTGGGAAGGTGGCTGTATATATTAATCGTCAATACCTTAAATGAGTAATCTCTTAATCTGTATTTGGTATCTTCTATCTTTATTCAACATTTGATGACGACCAATGCAATGCCCATCATGTAGCGCGAATAATTAAGGGAATTAAAATTACAGTATCTAACTGAAATAATAAATCGATACTTTTTAGACCATCATAAGAAGTCTGGAAGCTCTCGACGGCCGTTTCGTCCTAGTATCGGACTCATCAGCAGCATACACACGCAGAGTTCGGACTTCAGACCTTCAGTCTTGAGCGAGAACGCTTAACCTCTGTAACGCTGAGCTGACTTCATACGGAGCTAATGTCTATCTTTAGTCGATCCAAAGTATTGCGCAACACCACCCGTTGTCTTCAGTAGTTACTACCTACACCTTACAGGGTTAAACTCGACTGGTACGTCTTCTCATTAGAATTCGGGCAATTTCCTTATGAAGCTAACCATGTAATATCTAAGACTTATTCTGAAGTAAAGTTTATTATCCCGTTTCAAATAAGGTATTGAATCAACCAGTATAAACTATATTGGAGTATACAATGTAGATTTCTAGGTCAGCGAAGCACATACCTATTAAATTTTGGAGGTATATTTATAACATCTATGGTGCAAAAGATATTTCACCTTTGAAAAATATCCCCTGTAGAGCACCAAATTGAAACCATTTAGTAAATTACTGAAGAATACTGGCAAGTGCACATACCTGACCAACGAAGTTTAGGAACTTTCATTTGTGAATGCTATTTCTCTTCACTCCTACTTATTGTATACAAAAATGAAAATTCGCTGAGATTTTATTTGCTTGTCTGAATTATTTGCGCTGCATTTGTTTGAAACCAAGCAAAATGTTTCAAATTAACAAAGGTTGGTTTCTTGTTTATGGAATGCTTATGGTTGTTCAGAAAAACATAGATATAACCATCGATCAATCTTTCCCTGTGACTAGATCGATTTAGTCTTCTTATATTTCTTGGAAACTGTCTAATGTAGTGGACAAAATAATTTAATTGAAGATTGTCTATTACAACCGTCGATATTTAACAGAAAATCAGTCAGTTTGGGAAATTTTCTGCTTGGATTCAAAAGAAACTCAGTGTTTAGTTGTAATAATAAATAAAATAGTAATGATAATAACCCTAAGGATTTCATGTGACGATCTCAATGCTCCATTGTGTCACCTATTCATATAAATTTTATTCACTACTTCCAATGAGTATATATTACATTCAAAAATAAAAAAGTAATATTTATAGTATACTGAACAAACTTACAGTCCCTTTAGTATTTTCGTCTATACCATTTACACTTAATAATTGTCGATCTGGACGACATGGTAGTAAAGCTGTTTTATTTAATACAGCTTTCATTTTTGTTATATCATTTTGATCGGAGTCCATAAAATCACCACGTTTATGTAACGACTGAGACTTGATGGGATTGGAAAGTTTCAATTTATTCTGCCGTTTAGTTTTCATTGGTTCAGTTATATGATCAGATGGGTTGGTTAATTGATTCACTTGCAATACCATTGTCAAGATGAAAAAGTAACAATAAAAAAACAAACAATGAAGATGATAAATCAAAGATAATTGTTGTGTGATCTAGGATATTTTATTGATTAACCACTGAGTGATAGCTAATATCATATTTTTATAGACGTTATTGCGATATGACCGGTAATCTAAGTGACTAGATATTGCATATTACATGCAAATGGATGTTATCGGAAGGAAACCCTAGATCTAAGATTTGAGGTGACTGGTACTTGTCAACAGAACGTTCTAGCCAAGCATCAAGAATAACTCAGACTACGAGGTTGGGTGACTGCCCACAATCACTGAAGTTAAGTTCATGGTTTGTAGCGGACTATTCACGTAAAAGATTTTCTAAATTTAAATGATGAACTGATAATAGTTAGAAAATCACGAAAAACCGAAAATCACCTCATCAAAGGACCGAACTCAGTATCTTCAGTATGGTGAATGAACGCCTAACCTATAGGCCACAGCGCTGGTATCCACTGGTTCTCAGCTGTGGTTTTAATGAGATCACTTAGTGATTCGGTCGATCAAAACTTTATTATCTGTACAAACTCCCTGACATTGATATTGTTTTCTATTAAAATCAGGTCAATGTCATGAGATTTCATGATGAAAATGACTAAGAGACTTCGGATAGACCGATTTTCAAATGAAAATCTTGTTGAAAAATGATCTGTTAGATGATAAGAGTGATTAAGACTGAATACTGTGAATCCATTTTCTTCCCTGATCCCATTTAGCTTCCCTTAACCTAAATACGATAGTATTAGTTTTTAGAACAAACAGATCTACTTACTGTGTACCACAGAATAAAATAATTATTGGTACCATGACTAGTTCTACTTGCATAATATCTTTGTAAAGACTTGTGTAAAATAACCTTGACAAATCATATAAATATATATATATATATATATATATATATATATATATATATATATTAAACATCAGTTCCCTTATCTTCTTCAAAATATAATTTAAAGAATATAAACATGCAGTTTGAAAGTGAAACATTTTTCATCAAACTATTTGGTTTCAGACTATCGAAATGGTAAAATAGAACATTTAAGACTTTGCGATTAAAAACAGTCTGTTTCTCTAAAGACACCTTGAATAAACTACTGAGATTTAATTTTAAACGAGTATAGTTTGTTTTTTCAATAAACTGGCAGGCAATATTATGCATACATAAAAGTCATATGTAATTTAGATCAATTCAGGGTGTTACCATAGATTCCAGGAAACAACCATACTATGAAACAACTTTTACTACAAACTAATCTTGTAATTTCAATCTAAATGATTATAGTTAGACGGTTATGTTGTTGCATGTTCTAAATAATTTATTACATAACAATTGGTGACCGTTTCTAAAAAGATAGACTAGTTCGTTTGACTGAATAACTTCTCATAAACTGCAATTTTCTATTCTAACTGGATGATAAAGGCAATGATTACATCAAAAGTTTAGAAAAGAACTTAATTAACACATACAATCAACAAAATTATTACAGAAAAGACGAAGGTGTAGTTATCAAATTTAGTGATAATTCCATTGTTGATGTCGTAGTTAGTAGGCAACAGAATAGAGAGCATGGAATTTCTTTATAATAGCTTTACTTACCAATTCACTCTTTGTCTAGTATTCCCGATTATGCTTGCTATTTCTTATTCGGAAAAATAAAAAGACAGATGTTCTATGTCATTTGAAACCTTTGTAAACCGGGAGAGTTAATTTTCTTAGATTGTAAGTATATCGTTTTTAATAAAAATGATAAACTTACTTAGGGTGTTAACATGTTCATATTCACTAAACATTTGCGAATGTATAAGAATGAATTGGCTTAATAGTCTTAGATTTAAATATCGTTTCACCTGTGATCTGTTTGGAGAGCCGGATAGTAATATGAGCGGTCACAATAAAAATTATGGCTTAGAGGCTATTGTATGATTTTTTTAATTGGCAACAACAGAATGGGGTCGCTATCCCAACCCTCTTTCTTTATCCGGGCTTGGGATCGGCAGTAGCCCTAAATGGGCTCCTTCTCATTATCACCGATACCTAAAATGTTCTGCTGTGCAGATTTATAACTATTTAATTTCAGGTTTAGAGATTATTCGTTTTATTTGACATATTGATTTCTGGTTGTCTGATAAATAACTATTCAAATGAAATGATTGGTTTATGTAGAAATCCAAGGTGGTTTAATTTTAAGTAGGATAAATTGACAAAACTAAATAACAGAAAAATAAAACTATATTAATTATAATATTGTAAAAGAGTTTGGTGGCCAGTGCCTCACTAGTTTCGTGACGGTCGATATCCGATATGTTCTTAGACTTCGTACACTGCTCGTCCAGACAACCGATACTAAATAGCACCTCACGGTTTATAAATCAGAAGGCGAATACGAAGTGTTGAGTACGTTTATTTGGCACACCACAAATAGACCACAAACCAAAGGCACACGGAGCGAGTGAGCGAATCGGCGAATAGGCGAATGAATTAATAAGATTAAGATGTTCATATAGATACATAGGAAAATGGCTGAGTCATCGAAATATTCAAGGATTTAATGTTGAAGCGACTGGGATGAATATGCGCTTAGGCGGTAGGCTAATGCTCAGTCGTACCAGCTCATACAAACCAGAAAATAATAAAAGCCAATGGTACATATAAGTTGTTGTTACACAAATGATTCGGTTCAATAAGTTAATCAAAAGGTTTAACCAAAATTAAATATGAACAAACTCAAATGTATGTCGGAGTTACTACAAGAGAAAACAATCAGTAAAATGACATTTATTCACTTCTATTTTTTTGAATGTCAAATTCCCATATTTAACTGAAGATAATCATACAATCTTCACTATCTTTTTGAGCTTAGATTAACACTTAACAGTTTTATGAATAGGTATTACATATTCATTGATCATATTTCATGATAACTTCTATTTTTTTTATTTATTTATCATTCAGTTAAAACAAAATAAATTTGCCTTGCTAGTGAATGTTTGTTGATTTCTAATCTGATTAGTATAATTTGTTTACAACGTTAAACTTGCTATCAGCACTAAGTCCGTAATGATATTAATCAGTTGTCAAATCAGTTGGTTTCTATTTATTTTATTTCGCAGACATTTGATAATCATTTCTCAACTGTAACTTTAAACTTATCATATAAATTGCTCATCGTTACTCATTTACCAAAATCGGAGTTCATTAAGTGTCTCTTTAAAACCGAATAACAAGTAAATGTTGGCATATGCCTACAAACTAATAAACTTGATCTAACTTAACCGAGATTTAATTCCAATCTAAGTAACTTAGTTGCTGAAGCTTAGATAAAGCACCACTTCAGTTTTCATAGTTAAGTATTCTAAAATTTTTATTTGGTCAGGGTTGAAAGTTTATTACAACTTTTTGTAGAGTCCCGAGGTTAGACCAGATGACTAATGATAAAACATTTGACGAGTAAATAAAGTTGATGTATTAATTGTTCAAGTTTCTTATTGTTTTGATTTCTTAAGATGAAAGCATTATGTGGATAGAATTGGCGTTAAGTTTAACAAACCTGTGTAAGTGCATCCAAAAGATTGATTAGTTGAATATAGATTCCTAAATAAAAGGAAATAGATGTTAAAATAGTTTGATTTGAAGTATTCTCATTGAGGTAAGGATTCGGTAACAGTGTCTTGTTAAGTTATAAATTACTAATATAAACGATATGAATGATTCAATGATAATTTTTTTGCTGTCTCATGATTCAATTATCCAGTGATTTCAGATTTTAACTTGAGTTTTTCTTTATAGAAATGCATGTGAATTCATACTCATTCTAGTGGGTAGCTATCGCACTTAGATTAAAGTGAGTGTTACCTCAATAAAACACTAATTGTATTCAGAAATGAGGAAATTGTCTAATTGATAGTTTAATAGTATCATATTAGTTTCAGAAATGTACTTTAATTTTGAACTACGGCTATTTAACTGTAGAAAAGTACCAAACTCTCTGTAGTTTTCAATGCCCACCACACTAATAGTTCTTAGTCAGAATTATACATAACAGATAACTGATCATACATCACTGACCAATGTTATGCTAGTTTGTGCTGATTGCATTTGTTGACCAGGTTTCAACCTGGCCATTAGTGTTAAGAAGTGGACTTCATGTACGATGTATGGAGATGTTAGATGGTTGGATGTAGTTTATTGAAACCCCGAAAAGCAACACTAACTTGAATTCCATCATCATGAACATGACCGTGATCATCACTCTAAACACCTTAGTCCTACTGTAGGTTAGTTGTCACATAGATAGACCGATGCTAACATTTCAGATTGTGAAATTGAGCTGGATCGAATCCGGGTCATTTTCCCCTGGAATCGTAGTTATTCCATGCTGACTAGTTCCAAACAGCACAAAACCTAGGTTCAGAATTTCTTATCCACTACCTCCAACCACCTAACATTATACTCAAAGATAAATTGAACATAAAATGAATTTCGTATACTTTCATTTGGTCGATTCAATATTTTCATACAACAATTTTGGTTAATTCTTAAATACCCATGTCTCCTTTTAGATATGTAAATAATTTCGATTTAAAACTGATAAAAAATGTTGTTTGCTAAACTTGTTGTATAAAAAATAACTTAATTATAACTTTAAACAAAAGAAATCATGCTTCTATTTTAGTGGATGTTATTTTTAATCAAAAAAATAGTGATAATCATATCAGCAAATTTATCTTATGTGAGGTTATTATTTCACACTAACCCATATTAAAAAAATAAACACAAGTTATATCATCTACAACTTTTTATCTTCATCCATTATGGATTGTCAGATTTTAAATTAAGATTTTAAAATAAGATTATCCAAAATAGCTTAACAGCATTGAGTAGAATATGTCAAATAAGCTGAAAGAAATTTTACCGAGAAAATAAAAGCAATAAAGAAGTATGATTTCA